TTGTACAAAAAAGGTAAATATATTTTTCCCACTCATTTCAGTAATTTTAGCTCATATATAGATTTATAACACACAAAGTGGAATATTTTAAAATTCTTTTTCTTTCAATTTTGATTGTCTTACAGATGAGATTCTTGCCTACCAATATGGTGTTTATTGGTAGGCAATTTATTGCTTATTGTTATTTCTTTGTTGTTTCTGGTGATGTGGACAGTTTACCAAAATAAAATAAATGATTGATGGAACCCAGAATTCAAAGTGTCAGAAAAATAGAATATTGTAAAAAGGGGGCAAATATTGGTGCCACACCCAAATATTCAGGGATTCACGGGCCTCTAAATGACCTTTGTCTGAGTTAGTAGACCACACAATCTGGTGCACAAACTGCTGACTTGACAGATATCCAGAAAACTGTCATTGACACCTTCCACAAGCCATCCTAAAGAAGCTGGTTGTTCATGGTGCTGAATCCAAGCATATTAATTGGAAGTTGATTGGAAGAAAAAACTGTGGTAAGAAAATGTGCAACGGCGATAACCACATCCTTGATGGGATTGTCTGGCTCTTTCCAGACAATCCTCTGGAAAGAGGGTTGTCGAGAACTACGCCCAGATGAAGCCTTCACCTGGGACACAAATGTTGCCTCGTATCAAGTCACTCCTAAATCAGAGACTGCACTGTTGCTTTGTGGTTCAAGGTCATATGTTATTTGGAAATCTGTGGAGGTGCAGAATCCTACGTTTCCACAGTCAGCGATCGGTTTTGTTCTGTGTACAGTGAATCTGAGTTTTGCTTTCTGAAATGAGTGACAAAACATTTTTGATATTCAGACCTTTGGAGATGCCCTATGTATTTATGTATTCTGTGTATATTTGCTCTATGTTGTGGTTATACAGTAAAAATCAATCAGGGAAACAGTTTCAGGGCTAATACATAAAGAAGTGATTAATTCATGGGAAAACTGAACCTTTCCGTCTAGAAACTTCTGCATTGATAATTTGTGGATTATCAGTGATGTTTCTGTGAGCAGTTGTCACTCAGGAGCCCTGCTGGCTTTTTGGCTCAGATTTGGGCCACGTTTTTCAGGAGCAGTACAGCATACTGGTTCCCAGTGACGAACCACATGTGTGCTGCATCCAGAGAAGCGCCACGCTGCAGAATGTGCTGACAGCCAGGAAACGGCAGCTGTAGAAACTGCCGTTGGTGCTTTGTGTGCTGGAGCTGGGGGAGGAGAGCACATCCCGGTTAGAGTGGTGGTGGGGGTGTTGAGCAGTTCCTCCTCTTCCTCATTCTTCTCTGCGCCTCTGATGATTTAAGTGATTGGATGTGTAGTGTCCGACAAGTGTTCGTATTTGACTACATTCAAATTCAGACTCTGTGTTCCTTCCACTTTCATTCGTTTCATTGAGACGACTAGTCACTCAGGTCAACTGTTTGACTGAGACTCTGCCTTTTCAACAGTAACTTTGTATTTTTGTCTTCTTGGGAAATAAATTATTCGACAGCAGTTATAGTTGATAAAGCTGTGAACAATTGTGTACATCTTGTGGTCTATTTGTAAGTTAAAATTTAGAAGAAAAAATCAAAACTTAGTAAAAAAATGAAAAATCCAGCCTAAAAATATTTGTCTGACATTCATATTTCACTTCTAGATCATTTGCCAGTACAGTGTGTATGTGTGTAAAGGAACAAAGACAATACAAATGACTCGTACGTTTGCCAATAGATATGAAAGCTGAACAGAAGCAATAAAACTGTCGATCCATATACGGTTATCTACTGAAATAGGTTTAGAATCCCACCAATCTAAATATTCCAGATAATTTACCCTAAAACTTAGAAAGTATATCTTACGAACAAAGACGATTCCTTTAAGCATTAATTTAATTCAGTGACTTTTCCAGTTTTACGTTGTTGTTGTTTTTTTTTTTGTTTGTTTATTTTACAAACATTACGTGCAGGACAGTCAAAATGATTAAATGACGTTTGAGTTTCTGTGTTTACCTGCTTAAATTAGTGAGAAAATAGGATCCTTAATTTTAAACATTCTGTAGATTCTCATTAATTGCACCTTGACAAAAACAGGTTGGCCCTAATCCTCCTGGGCCTAAATATAATAAACTGTCCCTTGGTAAACCCGTGTGAACTTTAGCCCTGGCGTTCCTGTTCTTTTGTTGTAGCTAGTTTGCTTCAAAGTTTGCCTGCAGTCTTACAAATTGCTGTTTCCTCATGCATTTGTTGTAAAGTTCTACTGTTGCCCATCTACCAGACGAAAGGAGTGAGAAAACAAGAAGAAACATTTTCAAAAAAAAAAAAATAAGTGAGTGCAGTCCTTTGCCTCATCACGTCATCTCATGCTGAGTCTGTTACCATTTGGCGAGATATTTGTTCTCTATAGTTTTCTGTTTAACTTCTTAGCAGTTGGTCAGATTTAATAGACAAGAGGGATGTAGTTGAGGATCTGCTTACATGTAAGTTTATGGTCAGCCTGCTCATGTTTCGTTTTTTTATTATTACTTTTTTTTTAATGTTTGGTCTTAGTCTAGACTTGGTTTTGGTGGGTTTGACTAAAGGTCTGCCAAATGCATTAAGTTGCTGCTGTACAATTTGATGGGTTTCTATTTGTGTTCACAAGTAAGTGTATCTTATATAGTGGCCAGTAAGTGTTCATAGTTCTAGTATAATTCTAGTATAATTGTTAAGCCTGGTGTTGGGTGCTGAGGTAGTGATTCATCCAGCGGTCCGTTGTGTTTTTGAGTTAAAAATGTTTAAAGTTGACAGGAAATTTGAAAATATCACTTGATAATTATATAAGATTGGAGATTAATATCTAAACACCAAGTATAAAGTCTTAAAAAATTTAAAATGCAAAGTTTTTAAAAACTTATATCAATAAGAAATGCTTTGCCTGGCGGGGGCACAAATAAAGCCTGGTAGCCCACCAGCTTATAATACACTGGGAAAATCCCAGGGTATTAATAACTGTTGCCCGATGACCAAGTATGTTTGCAATCATAACTTTTTAACTAAACCCTGACCTTGTAGCAAAAAAAATATGTTTAACATTCCAAGCGAATTCAAATTCTTCATCTATATATTCCTTATTATAATATTAAATGACGCTGTCAAATTTAGATATTTGCCACTTTAGATTAAGAATGGACAATGTCCTTTGACTATTTTGTCATTTTTCATCCTCACCAGTAACGGTACTAAGTTTTTTTCCCAAATCACTTCAGTGCTTCTCAGAAATCACAGAAATCTCAATTAGCTATTTAGCTGTATGTGGCATTTCCTGACTGGGATTGTGATGGTTTCTTGTGGTGCCCCTGGCTTTCACCAAATACAAACATACTAACCCATATTAAGGTTAACTGATGAAAACTTTGATCATGGTGAATGAATTAAACTAAATTTCAAGTATATTAACGTACAACAATATCATAAATAATCCTGCTTTAATCAGCTATAGCCAGGGATTTTGGTCCAACGTGTGAAATAAATTGTCTTTGACCCTCTGACTGTTGATGACAACCCTGGTTTCTTTATAGGCAGGTCAGCGCTGCTTTCTGTTCTCTCTTCAGAAGTTTAAGCTCACATTATTCTGTTTGAGTATGAATTTCTGTGATCATTTTCCAGTCCCCTCCCACCCCCCTCAGGGACTTTGCACCTGGCTCATTCTCCCTCTGTTGCCTCAGATATCCACCCAGCTCTCACTGAATCATACCATAAAGCCAGCAGCTCCAAGAACCTGAACACACTTCAGCCTATCAGTTTTGCTTTGGGAAAAAAAAGCTCCATGATGATCTATGCATGTTAAAAAAACACCTTTAACAGTGCACCTATCAGATGTGCCGTGTGGCTGCCTAGGATTGTCGCAGTGTCTGCCACCATGTAGTTTGTGAAAGGAGAGCATGACTGTTTACCTCAGCAGAACAGGATTAAGTCTGTAGAAGAGCAAAAGGAAGTGGTGCTAGCAGGAAATACTGTAGCTGAATTGTTAGCTGTCCTTGATGCTGTGTTGCAGTGAACGAGCCATAGATGGGCAAATGTTGCAGTTGGAAAAGAAGAGAGGAATTAAGTGGTTTTTGATTAAACTGATTGGTGGCTGGCATCTGCTTTTAGGGGACAGGAACTGTCTGATCAGCTTCTCAATAAGGAAAGATCCCTGCTTGGATTATTGGTTATCCCACTGTATGCTCCTCTGTTTCCTGACCCGGCCCCACCCCCTCCAGCACTCTGTGGCCTGTAGAATGCTTTTAAAGCCCGTCTGTTCCTCTGCAGACTGCCAGAGCTTCCCAGCCCCCGTTGTCCCCATTTTCCACCCCTCTTCCTTTGCCTCTTCTGCTCTCAGCGGTGTGTACTCTCTTCAGACTCTAACCGGGTCCTTGTGAAGACTTAAACAGAGATGAGGTTTGAAGAAAGAGAATGCACAAGGGTCCGAGGTCTATCTTTGTTTGCCATCTGAGTCATTACTTTCATTGTTCAGCTAGTGTCACTGTAGCCTACATTTTGGAAGAACAGCTCCCCTTGTGGTAGCTGCCTTTTGGTGCAGGAGCAGACATTTTCCTCTCATGTCTTCCTTTGAAATGCCCATTCTGTGTGTCATACTGGTAAAATGGAGTACCCAGCTATGAGCTTTGCACACTGTTTACAATGGGAGATAACAGTGTTATCTTTTTGTTTTGGTTTTCTTCATCTATAAAGCAGTTGTAATGTTTTTGTTTTTGGCTTCAGCACTCCTCTAAGCTCCCTGCAGCTGTCATTAGTGGGTGTTATCTGTAATGCTGATTCACTGACCTCTGCAGTCTGATGGGGGAAATGCTGCTTTAATGATCAGTGTGTACTACTAGTACTTTAAAAACAATAACCCTATCTCTGTCTTAACTCCTGAACCTATTAATAAATCCACAGGTGTGAAAAATGACTTTAGGAAGTGTTAAATTTATGTATTTGTGTCCCATGAAGTGGCTCAGCTGTAAACATTTCCCCCCCTACAGATGGAAGCGGGCAGAGAGCCGGTACACCGTAGAGAGAGCTGGTATCATCAGCCACTGGAACTGGCTTCAGGCCCACATCTCGGACCTGGAGTACCGCATCCGACAGCAGACAGACATTTACAGACAAATCCGTGCCAGCAAGGTTGGTTACTGCCATTTCCTTCCTAATCATCTCTGCATGGCGCTGCTGTATAATTGGAAAAGGACTTTCATGTTTTTTACAGAACTAGAAACAGTCTTTATTGTCTCGCAGAGCAAAAATTCAGATGTCTCGCAGAGCAAAAATTCAGATGCAACAGCAGTATTGTACATATAGCTTCACACAAAACAATACATAAAAAAACAAGATTAACAATAACAGTAATATACTGTGTAAGACTTAAATAAAAATGATGGCGCATTTATAATATAATATAAGAATATCCAACTCAAGATGCATGAGATGTGCTGCTGAGTACTCAATGTTTCCACCTGTAGTTTGTTGCTGCATGTTGCATTGTTAAATATTTGACAGGTAAATATTTCTAAAAGAAAACGGAGCTGGAATGATCTGGGTTGCAATTGTAAATTTTTAAGCTAGTATTTCAGTCGTAAACTTTTTTTTTTTGGCTTCCATCAGTAAACACGTCATACTAAGCACAATCGGCTAACATCAACAGAAACGGTCTTGGAGGTTTAACCTATTGCTGAGGAAAGGTTACTTCTCAGCTATTTTTTGTATCAGTGAGGTATTAAAAAATTGATTTGATGAAACAAGAAGTTAGAAGAAGCTAGACTTTGAGCAGGTAACAGAAAGCCTGATTGATTGTGACATTTGCTCTGCTTGATACTTTGGAGCTTTAACCTGCATCCACTGTGGAACATGTGTGATGTGAAAATGTTGGCCCTTTGGGAATCTTGAGCGACGGTAGGCTGTCTGTTTTCTATGGAATTTACATGGAGTCTGCTGTTTTGGTGTTCATCAATCTTAATCACAAATGCAAAATGCTGAGCATATTTTGGTCTTTCTACACCCCTGTATTGTTGGGCTACATTATATTGGAAAATCATACACTAGAGGAATAATTAAATATTTTGATGATAAATCTTCCATTTGCATCACACACCAATTTCTCATCTGAGATGCTTCTAACTCTTGCTGTGTGTTTTATCTCTGATCTTAAGCATTATCATGTTAGGTTTGGCTCTGTCTTTTGACACTTTGAATAAAATGCCCTTCTAATAAAGTGCCATTAAAAGTTATTTGATAATAATATTGCACATAGTGATATGACAATATTTGCCTCAAATATGATCAATTTTGCTTTGCATGGCAGTAGTAGTTTGAGTCTGTTGTTCGGAGTCTCGCCAGACACAGGTGAAGCTGCCGACTATTGTCAAGAGTGACTTGAAGGACAGCAGGGAAGAAATTGAAGTGTGTTTTAGCATGTATATTTTTATTGTGATATTTAACAGGCGTATCGTAATCGGTATACTTTTTGTGGTCAAAGTTGAACACATCTGTTTGATCCATAGGGTTCTGTAGAGTTGGGAGGACTTGCCCCCAGTGCTGTGCTCACAGCTGGCACCGAAGTGAAGATGGAGCCTGTAAATGCACAGGTAACTAACAGGTTTTAGTGTCTATACTGCTGACCTTCCATCGGCGCAAAATCCTTTCCTACCAGCTCAAGGATTTGTGTTGAAATAACAAATATGCCTCCTTATTTTTTCTGGTTTTGCACGGCTGTGTTCCAAAGCCACATGAGGATTTATGACTTGATTGAAGAAGAAATTGGCTTCCAGTTGTTTTATTTAAGCTAACCCAATATTACTAGCAAATCAGCTTTATTTAATATTTGTTCATTCAAAACAACCAGTTTATCATTATGCATTTTCCTAATTTTAAATAAAACCAGTTTTTTTTTTTATAGATGGAAATTATTTGGCTAACATTTTTTAGTGCATCATGTTATGTTGTAGCATGTCTTAAAATTATATTTGGGTACAGCACTCGGAAAAGCTTTGCCTTTGTTGTCTCACGTCCACAATATTTTTGGCATTATGGTGAATTTTGCCAAATTCAGCATTTGAGTTGACTTTTTCTGTTTGGTGTATGGTTGAAAGCCCACAGTTGTCCCAACATATCCTTGGGACAACCGTGGTAGGAATTTTTTCTGTCACTGGTGTGTTGCTGGTTTAAATCCCTGCTCCGTCTGTCGTTGTTTTTGAGCAAAACTCTTCACCCACTTTGCCTGCTGCTGTGGCTACAATGGAGCTTATCTCCAACAGTGTGTGGATGTGTGTGTGAATGACTGAATGTAGTCTAAAGGGTTTTTATCTAGTCTCTAGATTAGATAGAGCTCTATACAAGTACAGGCCACTGCTGCCCTATCATTCTCATGAGAAATGAATTTCAGAAGTATTAATTCTCTCAGGTTGAGCTTACAAGTGCATTTCAATACAATACAATATTACTGAATATGAGAAGACTTAAGAAAGAATTTTAGCATAGATGTGAGCTGAAATGTGTCAGAATAGAATGCACAGTTGGTACTCCTTATGCACAGTGCAGTGTGGAATCAAGGCAATTAGCTTGAGGCTCTGCTGAAGTGTTAAGGAAGTCCTGGTTGCTTTAACGGCAGCATTCAGCTCGTCTCCGTTAATGGATCTGGTGTTGCTCATTTTCATCTCTTCAATACTCCATAGATTGTCTTGCACAGTGACACCACAGTCATTAAAGCAGCTCTTGGTACCTGTGGTAGAGTGGATAGGTAATGTCCTGCTGGAAAAGCTTCTTGTTATCTTTACTTTTATTATTACAGCTTGTAGCAGTGATACGTAATGTTCCAGTGTAGTGTACATGTAATTATCCAAAATGAAATCATTGTTTAGATGCATCTTATAGTAGAACTAATAACTTTTAGATTGAAATTTAATATACACCTGTGATCCTCTAAGGTTCCTCTGAGAGATGCAGGCAAACTTACTCATGTTCAGTAATATTCATAAAATGCGGTCAATAAACCTTTGACCTGTGGCCGTTATTGTTTTTGATTAAAACTGAAAGTCTTTCTTAAGGCCGGCTTAAGAGAAACTCTCTGTATTATCACAGATGGCTTCTCTTAAAACCCCATTCTAGTTTAATTAGGCTGTTCTGTTTTGCCTAGTGTCTTTTTTTTTTTTTTGGTGTGTCTTCCAATCTGTTTTAAACCCCAGCGAAGTTGTAAATCAGTTTAAGCTAAGAATCTTAAACTTAAAAAGTGTGATAAATGTTAGGACTAAGGCTGTACCAGATCAGTTCTGCATCCTGCAGCTGTTAAGAATGTTTGTTTTTTACTGAGGAGCTCAGCCATAATGCAACCTAACTTATAAAATAATTGAGTTGAGCAGCACCTCATTCTGTTTTATTTTAGTATGTAAACGTAAGACTCCCCGCTGACTCCTCTCCACAAGTTTTTTTCCTGACAGTGAGAAACAATGAACCTGTTTGTTTCTCTAAATCAAAGAAAACATGGAAAGGAAATAAGTGTCTGAAGGAAAAGATTTTTCTTTCTTTCAGCTTCCAACCAATAAACTCGATCAAAAAAAAAAAAAGAAGCCCTTTCAGCATTCTTACACGAGCAATTTTTGTCAATTTGTCTCAAAATGTGCTTCTCTTTGCCTCGACTGAAATTGTTTGAAAGAATGTGGCCCTGAAGTAGTGTGTGTGTGTGTTCCCATTCTTCTGGTTTAAAGGGGAGAACAGTTTGTTTTTCTCTTATTCTTGGTGCAGTTTCTCATTTTAAGCTCCCAACTGCATGCTTTGGTGTCCTTGTGAAGACATTTCTAATTTGAAAGACCATTAAAAGCTTGTGAAGCAGAGCAAACCGCAAATTCTGATGGAGAGCAGATTTTTTAGCTTTGGGAGATTCCAGCCGTTTTAACAAATCTGTCTGAATAATTCAGGACGGGGATGGTTTGGTTCATCTGTTATGTCGTTTCCTTAAATATCCCGGCCTGGCTGGGCGCTGCGGGGTCAGGCTGTTCCAGTTAACACGCCGAGGTGTAGTCTCAACTGGTTTCTGTCTTATCTGTCGATGCAGGATGTTGGTGCAGAACGGCTGGACAACACAAGCCCCGCCCACGTCACCAGCACAGAGCAGGGCCCGTGGAAAGGTCAGAACGGGCAGCCAGTCAACGGCGTCCTCAGCAGGTACCGATAATCATTACCTTCATGTTGAGATTTCTGAGAAATGGAGGAGCAGGTTGTCCGCAGTAATGGATGTGTAATTATCAGATGCTGATGTTACCGAGAGCAACAGTGATTAGACTCTGAATCTGTTCATCAGCAGGAAGGTCTCAGGGCTTGTTTTACAGGCCACAGTTTAACTTGTCATGACTAAAGAGCAGCGCTGTAGTTAATAAAGAAAACAACTGCTTTCATTTGGATGAGCTGATTGAACGCGGCTTCAGGTTGACGGTTTGATCATTATGACACAGGCTGGAACCAAGGTGTTTTTAAAATACTCCTGTTGAAATGTCTGTTTTGAGAAAACAAACATAAATCATAAGAATTTCAACTATTATATAATGAGGGAGTGGCACAGAATGACGCACATAAACAATAAAGTGGTGAAAGACTAAAATAGGCCAATTTTCACTAAATTTTCTTTGACAAATGAGGAGATTATAAAATGTGGCTTGATTCATAAACTGGAATATTTTTTGGAATGATGTAACTTTCTCCTAGATTCAAAGCTCAATTTAAAAATTGGCAGCTCGTTTGTTTTTTTGTTTTTTTCTTCCTGTCTTAGTATTAATGGCCTGCATGGTCGAAGTACAGACACTCAGCGCTCATTGTTGCAGCAGCATGACAAAAATTGCGATTTTGTTCTCAGCCTGACGTCGTCCGCCTGTTCTTGTCACAACCACCATGGCGAACACTTTCCTGGGTGTTTATGATTATGCGGAACAAAGTTCCAACAACTCAACTTCCAGAAGCCTGTTTTAGGCTAATTAAATCAAAATCTGTCGACCAAAACTAGAGATCAGTTCCAGTCAGGAAATTTCTAAGCTGTTTTTTATTCTTGTTAGAATGTTAACTGGATGTTAACCGGACCAGATGCAACTTTAAGGCCAGATGTCACTTTACAGCACAAGTTTTAATAAAACCATTTTGTAGGCATTCCTGATGACCCGTCTCCTCTTTGTTGTGGCAGGATGGCGGACAGTGCAGACGGCAAGCTCCAGCCGGCCTATGACGGCACGTGTGTGGCTGCGCGTACGCGGCCGCTCGTCGGCTGCCGGCGGCGGCGGCTCATTCAGCCTAACACGGTGACGAACCTCAACGGCAAGGTGAGCTGGTCTACCCATCCCAGCTCTTGCTTTGATTGTTGCTGTTGAACCTTAGTGCAGGATATTTTTGATCCGTCATGTGTTATTCATGACGGATCAATACGTTTGCTTTAAAAACTCAGAGAATCGGCTTTTGTTGGCTAAAATCTTCTAGTATTTGATGCTCATTCAGTGGCGGTGAATGCACCATTGTTCTCAGAGCGTCTTGTGTTGTTCCATTGCACTTTGATGAGTGCCTCCTGGCCTGTAACCTAATAACTGAGTAAACAAGAAATGGCTGACTTGTGTATGGAAAACTCTCTGCATTGTGAGTCGCACAACAAAGGAGGATAATCGCTCTCAGGTTTTAATTGAGAAGTGGAAACATGAGTTGATTGTGAACCTTTGTCACTGATTTAATGAGTTTACTTTGTAAATGCATCTTTTTATACGGTTTTAAAGGTTTGTTCAACGTTTGATCAATTTGTAATTATTCAAATGTCAGGAGGATCTTAAAATTGCACTTTGAAGTGATTTCCTGAAATGCATCAGTTTTCAGTTCAATTCATGCATCAGTTTGTCTTAATACGTTGGAAACATTCATTAGTTCAGTTGTTGCTAAGGAATTAAAGTGTTACATTGTGACAAAAGTCAAAATCTTATGAAGCAGAGAAGTGATGATTCTAAATATTTAACTTCTCTGGGAAACACATTTATAAAATTGACTTCATCTCTTAAAATTGTGTGTTAAGACAAACAACCCATGTTTTACTTGCGTCATCTTGTACTAGGGTCTTCATTTTGGGCAAATTTAATTTTAACAAGACTTGACTCAATAACAGTGATTTTAAGATGGTCATCAGTGACTGTAACCAAGCTTTACTTTATGGGGTAAGAATGCAATAAAGTGAGTTGGCTAAGTTGCAAAATGTCTCCAGTCATTTGGCTCAGGAGGAAAACACAAATTCAAGTTGATAGTTCTATTAAATTAGTGAAAGCTATCATTTAAACATTGCCAGAGCTAAAAAAAAAATAAAAAATACCAACTTATCCTGACTGATTTTATTTGGTAAATTGGGCACAATTTAGGCTATAGACATATTTTTGTCGTTACTGCAGTTTAAAAACGATTGTGTTGAAAAGTTAGTTTATAATGTTACAATGAAGTTGCATTAACTTGAAGGAATCCAGATTGAAAAAAATAAATAAATCACCTTTCTATGTTGCCAGGATAAAAACAAATTAGCTGCTCTGACTGCATATATGATGCGTATGATAAATTGTGAGTATAAATAAAGTGGTCTTTAATGAGCCCCAGTGTTGTCGCCTGGCAGACCCCGAGGAGCAGCTGTACGCAGTGTAGCTGCAGGGTGAACCCCAGCTGTGTGATGTGTGGTGGCTGGCCCACCCCCAGAGAGGAACCCCAATACGAGCTTCCCACCCTGGAGCGCCTGTCAAGGCTGGATCTTGGCGTCCACCCCATCCTCTCCTTCCCTGACGGTCAGTGCAGTGCTGAAGTTTATGCAGCCATTTCCTACTCTACATCTTGGAGAGGAAGGCAGGCAGGGAGTGGCCGTAAAGAGGCAGACGGCAGGAAATTCTTAGACAACATTTTCAGCTTTCTTTTTTTCCCCCTCCTCTTTCTTTGAATGTGAAATGGCTGAGTAACTGAGTAGTTACAACTGGAGCAAATTATGTGCTATTTATGAATAAGTAAAGTTTTGTGATAGTTTTAGAACATATTTTTTTCTGCTGTGGATAAAGTATGACGTGGGAGATGAATACTAGGAATCTTGCTGATAAAATTAAATCATCCCGGTTTGACATTCTTCATTCAATCTCCCCCAGATGTTTCTGTGGGCCTTCGTCTGCAGCAGGTGATGAAGAGCCAGTGGCAGTCCAAGTCGTTGGAGAGGAGCAAACCCCTGAAGAAGCTTTCGCTTAAACACAAGCTCTCCTCATCCAAAGAGAAGCACAAGTTCACCAGCTCCCTCATGGCAGTCAGTGAGTACCCGGGTTTCCAATACACTTGAATTATTATTATTATTTTTTTTTACCTTTATTTATATCCAGGTCCTTTGTTTAGACTTTACATCATACACAAAATATTATTTAAAATAAGTTATAAGATGACATTATTATTCAATTTTCATAACAACTGTAAATATTTTGGCATCTCAGGATTTCCTGCAGGATGTTGATTTGTTTCTAAAAATATATATGATTCAATACACACAGCTAAAGTCTTGCTGATGATGTCATAGTTCAGGGAAGTTTGAATAAGTGGTAAGTTAACATTAGCATAGTTCCTTTGTTTTTTTAAATACTGTCATAAAACCTTATAAAAAAAAAAAGGTTTTGTGTTGTAAATCCTTGATCTGAGGGGTAAAAACTCAAATATGAGTGTCAACAAAAAATTTTACTTGTTCACATGTATAATTTTAAATTCTGTTTCTACAATAACTTTATTTCTTAGAAAGCTTTCTAAGAAATGCCAGCCAGGACATATTGATGTTACTCAGAACTGTTTGCTTCATACATTTCTGATAACTATCAGCGGGAAATGCTGCTTTCCCTCAAACAGACGAAGAGGAAATAGACAAACAAATCAGAACTTTAAATACTGTAAAGTTTTTAAAATAACCATTCTTGTGGTTGGTGTTGTAGGACTGAGCCACTGTAAGAATCGCATTGACAAGCAGAGGACCGTTGATGGCAACATGGGCAGTAACAGCAGTAGCAGCGCCATACTGAGCATGCCCAGACTGGACAACCAGGCCGGGTGCAAAACGGAGCGACTGCATACCCTCTCCACTCCGTTAGGACCCTACGACAAGAACTACAGCCGCAAGAGATTAAGAGAGCACTCACTGGACAGGGCTGACAGTGAGTTCCCCCTGACACACACGTCAATGCAAACGAAAGGTTAAAACACCCCTACATCTCTTACATCCGTGCGTGTCTTTTCCTCATAGCTTCCCCGAAGCTTTTCTTGGACACAAGCAGTCCCTGCACAACACTGGCCAACATGCACCCGTCGCTTCACAGCCCGCTGACGCGCCAGCTGTCCACGTCGTCAGATACATCCATGCAGCTGGGCACCGGCAGCCAGAGCGTCCCCAGCACACCGGTAAACACACAACCCACCACCACACACACTGTGTGGGGACATAGACTGAAGAGCACCTGAAGGAAAAATTGGATTTGACTAAAACGGTGGTTTGAAACACTATATCTAGTCAGTCAAATAAATAAGAAAAAAGCTTAATGGCTGCACTATGATGAATGTCTCTGCTCTGTTGAAATTAACTTTGAACATTTCCATTTCAGTACTTGGGTGAGTTTTTCTGTGATGCTTCAGATCAAAGGATAAAAACATTACATGAATGTATGCTTTACATTAGAAAGAAATGTATCCTTTTGAAAGATGTGACACTGCCATACCTTACACTGAAAATATCACCCAATATCATAAAGGTCACCGAGTTTTGGAAGCATTTTAATATCAAGACTGAGGAATATATAGATTTATTGAAGCCATTGCCTTTTAACTGTTTAAAGCGATGAACGTCACAGGACTTCTTAAAGTCATGCAATCATAACATACATTTTTTATTTTGCAAATGGCAAATAGAATCATATAAATGAGGCAAAGAACCTTCATTCTGTTCACAGATTATCTGCCACTTATTCTACCAAAGAACATAGAGAGTCTATTAACAATCATGTTAAGAAATACATTTTTATGAAAGTTATCTATCGAAGCATTAAGGAGTAAATCCACTTCAAAAGGCTCAGTGTAAAACATGCAAACGAGGCTTAGTCTTAAACATACAAAAGACAGAACAAACAGGAAACTTTGGAATGATAGCACATTTACAACCTTCTATAGTTGACTTAACATTTTGCACTCTGGTACTTCAACACATGATACAGATAATAGAGTGACAAATATATATATTTATATATATATATATATATATATATAATATATATATTATATATATATATATATATATATATATATATATATATATATATAAAACTAATTAAAGTTTTATAAACCAAATGTCTGTTTTGTAAATGTTTTTGCCCTTAGACCTGGTTAGTTTCAAAATCACCCAAACATATACTATTTATATCTGTTTTTGTCAACACTCTGAGCACAGCTGTCCTGTTTTGAACTCTGAATGTTGGAGGGATCTTGGATCTGCTTTCTCCAATTCTGCAGTAAAAGCCTAAAAATTTAGTTTCAGGACACTGTAGATCATAGTTATCATCAAGTGATTCACCCCTGATTTAACAGCTTCAGGCTGGATGGTGCAGCTTTACTGTAAATGTTTCAAACTGTACACAGATCACGAACGTATGGAAACCGACCGCCTGAAAGTTTCTGATAAAAGCAACCTTTGTAGAGACTGAGACTCAAACTGAAACTGCTTGTGGTTTTCACTTTTTCTGGTGGTGGAGCGCAAGAAGAGAAACGTAAACATCCAGTTGATTTGGTTATGGGAGCCAAGCTGTTTCTAGTTGAACTTCAACACATTTTGTTTTCAAATGCATCTTGTTAAAGTTTCTGTCTTTAAAGTTTTTAACAGACGTTTCACAAGTTTTTTAAAAATTCACATTAAACACATCGATTTGAAGGCTTCAAATCAGCTGACAGTTTAAAAATGTTCACTGTGTTGAGAATGACTCTGTTACATTTGTTGATGTTTTCTTGTCCTTCAGCAGCAGCCAATCAAGCGGAGGCGTGGCGAGAGTTCCTTCGACATCAACAACATAGTGATCCCCATGTCTGTGGCGGCCACCACCCGAGTGGAGAAGCTGCAGTACAAAGAGATCCTCACTCCGAGGTAACCGACTCCTGCTGTCACTTCTGACTGCTGATCCTCACCAGCTGCCAGGTTTCTTTTGCTCAACATGTCTCGTTGTTCTGCTAGTTGGCGATCGGTGGACATTTTCTCTCAGCCAATAACAGCAGAGGAGAACGAGCGAGAGGTAGGCACTCCTGCTCAGCTTTGTGCTTCTCAGTTGTTTGGTTGTAATCATTTAAATCTGAAGTTAATGGGAGAAAGTCTTTATATTCCAACTGAGCAAACAGTGACACCTGATGGTCAAATATTTAACCGACTTGGATGAGATGAATGTTTCTAATAACCTTGAATAGCCTTTTTCTCCAGAGATTTAAAATGTTTCTAATTAATCACAGAAATATAAATCCAGGAAAAGTGCCAGCAATTTTTCCTTGTGTTTAGGAAATATATAATTGAATTAAGAAAAACAATAAGGAGCTAATTAACAATAGATCTGATTCCCAGCAAAGTTTACCAACATCTTTATTAAAAAAGTATTAACCTGCCTGCAGTAAACAGAGACTAGAAGAGTCTTTTGTAAACAAACATCTGCTTTTAGTCATAAATGATTCCTGAAGTGTTTTGTATTTATGTGTTAGTGCTTTAATTACTGCAAGTAAAGTTGAATCATGATTTCCTGCATTTCTTAATAAAATATTCTTCATTCTTGAGTTGGAGACAAAAGCATTGTTCTTTGTTTCCTTCAAGAGAGCTGGAAAAGGAAGAGCACAATCACTGCAGTTGTGCTATTCATTTCTGATAATCCTATTCAAAGGACAATAAAACAGAGTTTCATTTTACATTTCATTTCAATCACAGAGATTTAAATGAAAACATCTGAGAATCAGCCTCCTTACATATCCCCTCAATCTGTCTAGTCCAAGTATCTGTTGGACAAGTCCCAACAGAAACCAGACCACTAAAACTGTGTTGCTGTGACACAAGTTGGCGCTTTTATTGTGAAGTTCAGAAAGAAAAATGTTTTCAATAAAGTTCTGCCACATGAAGTTCTGGATTGTTAATCACCTTCATGTAATGAGTCATAATTATTAAACCTTGTTGGTTTAGATGGAATTTAACTTAACTGGGTGGATTAAATGAAGCATTTTGCTTATCGCCTTTTATGCCGTACATTTGATGTAAAACATGATTTATGTTCGTCAGAGTAAAAAAATAATCAGATTTCATATGGAAGTGAAATTGATTTTATAGATGTAATAAAGAGTTAATCTAAAAATATGAAGAGCAGCTTTCTGAAGACATAGCAGCGTTTTTATTGGCTGCTGTCGGCCTGCAGGTGGAGGATCTGACGGACGCCGCCTTCATCCAGCTCCACCAGCCCCACGAGGACCAGGAGCGCTCCCGTTGGACCTGGATGGCGCTGGCTCCGGCTAAACGCCGGGGCAGCAGGTGACTTGCTTTCCCTCCTTATTACCGAATTCGCCTCATGTCCGAGTTACGCGACGCCAACACTCGTGTCCTTCAGGTCATACAAGTCTGTGGATGGACGGACCACGCCTCTGCTGTGCGGGACCAACCCACCCACCCCTCAACCCGCATCGCCGGACCCCGGCCACTGCCCCTCGCTGCACGACTACAGTCACGTGCCGTCGCCCATGAGCCCCCCCAGCCCCGACGCCTCGTCCAACCCCCAGACTCCCTGTTCCCGCGACTCCCACCGGCTGCTGTCCAATGAGGACACTCGGTGCTCCACGCCCGACTTTACCTTTGAGGAACGGGTGAGACAAAAAGAAATATGGCTGGATTACATTGACAGCAAATTTACATCTATGTTTTTGTTTTGCTCATCAGAGTTAATTATAGTTTACTACATTCCCAAAAATTTAGCATTGATGTTAAAACTAAATACTCTGGTGAACATCATCACTATATAGTAGAGCAGCTGTTGGATGGAACCAGGTCTGTCCAGACACTTTGCTGCACCCAAATCAGCGAGACGCAAACCTGTTCAGATACAGACAATAAATTTGGACTACTTTATTTGCTTGATTTGTACAATTTTGTCCCTCATGATATAAAAGGTCTCTGGAAAGTGTTTAAAAATTACAAAGCACCATGATTGAGATTAAATAAGGCACATCCTGCAAGTAAAGATCAACATGCATCTTAACAATTTACCCGACTGCGACTGATTGATCCAAGTTTAATCAGCATCAGAAAAAACTATTCTGGTCCAATATCGACTTCTGTTTCTATTTTTCAGACCGTAGCGCCGTGGGAACGCCGCAACTTCCCCCTGCCAGAAGACCCGACTCCAGAGCCCGAAAGCGACCAGCCGATCAGGCCCAGGGCCCGCAGCATCTCAGGGTGCCGATCGTCTGCCTTCGGGCGCCTGGACTCGGACGACGCGGAGCTGCCTTGCGACGACGACGGCGGCCCCAAGCTCAGAGCCTCGTCCCACCGATGAGCTGCAGGCAGGCGGAGGCCCCGCTGCCCCGCCCCACACGGCTCCTCTCTGGCATTAACAAGCAGAACCTCAAAGCTGAAGATGTTGTTCAATGGGTTCCTGTTGTTTGATATTCAAACATCAGTCTAATACTTTCACAGTTTTTAGTGAACATTATGGAGATAGAAGCCTTTCCCTTCACTTGTTTTTGTCACAGGGAAAAAAAAACCGATAAATGCAAAAAAAAAAAAAAAAAAAGTATAAAACAACACATTACAAAAAGTGAGTTCTGTAGTAGGCTAAACAATGTACATGGGGGCTTAGTGGTGTTCATGTCGCGTGTACACTTGTAGCGCACTATGTAGCGACTCCTCAACATATGGCCAAAGGGTGTTTTCTATTGACTAGTTTGCTTGTAAATCCCCATGTACATTTTTAGTGGAGTGACAAATATCAAAACAAAAACAAAAACAAAAAAAACAAAAAAAAAAACTCCCTACTTCCTTCTTCCTGCTCCTCATCCACATAAACAGGTACATTTAAGATGTGGTTCCCTCCTCCCCCCACTAGAGGTCGCCTGAAATCACCAGTGCACTTCTCGTACTGCCAAGTCTAGTTCTGCTGGTTTGCTTTCTTTGTTTGTTTGTTTTTTTTTCCATTCCTGACATGTTTTTGTTGATCTCGTTCTGTCTGTTTCAGTGTAACGCATTAATTTGTTTTTATTTGAAGAGTAAAATCATTCCTCCAGTCTCTTCGGAGAGCTCCCGTCTCGCTGCACAGGTTCCCACCGCCGGTTCTGTTTTACAAAAAAAAAAAATATATAAAAAAAAAAAAAATAGGGTGACGGCACAGACCCGGGAGCTGCTTTCTATTTTTATGTTCAGGTTTGAGCAATTGCCCGGCAGAAAGCTGCCTGCATGCTAAAATAAAAACAAACGGAAAAAGATGAAGTTAGTCCGATCACACCAGTAATCCTCAAAGCTAATCTCACTCCTTTGCAAACAGTTGTGGCTGTAAATGAAAATGTGGCGACATAAACACAATAACCTCTGTGCTTTTTTTTATTTTTTATCCTTCTTTATGGTTTCTGTATCAGCTTAACAAGATTTTAAACATTTCAAATGTAGCAGCTCTCAATTAGAAGCCACCCGAGCTCAGGTCTCTCTGGACAGCAATTTAATGACACTTTTCCTCAGAATGATCAGTTCAAAGCCAGATTTTGTTTTTTTCCACTTTCACATCCTTGTAATTATGCTCTCACCTCATCCCTCCTCCACTTTACGTAACTAATTGCTATGCAAAAAAAGAAAAAAAATCTATGGTTGTTTTCATTTTCCGCCTCCTTTGTACACAACCGTTCTGTTTATTTTTTGTTTTGTTTGTTTTGTAGTTAAGATGTCAATGTACCTGTTCGATTGTTGCAGCAGTTATAACCTAATCAAAAAGCAGAATTGTTTTCTTTCTTGTAAATAGTACCATTAAAACATTTATGTTTAACTTGGCACCATTGTTCCCGTCTTAGTCATTCATTCGAGGTTCATTCGGACGTGAGTGTGACTTTGCAGCGTTTATTTCAAATACACATATACAGCAACAAGAATCATCATAAACCAGTTACTGATCAATGCACAATAACAAGAACAATCACATTTCCACGTCTGTACAGCGTCAGAAGTAACCAAAAACAAAATAAAGGTGAGTGTTGTTACTGCAGGAACCTCTTCGCAGCACGCTGGGGATCAGGTCTCGTCCCCTCCTTCCACCTCATCTCTGTCCTGATCTCTGGAGACGGAACGTGGTCTACTGCAACTAAAGACGGCAGCATGCAGATAATGTTGCGAGCACACCTTGGAGTTCTACGTGTCTGCTGAGTTTTGACCCTTCCAAAAGTCCGGAGCGGATACAAACGGGGTATAACACCTGGAGATCATTCTGTGAAAGGGAGGCAACAAGCAGACGGCTGCCTCTTACATTAAACACATGCAAGAATGTTTCATTAGTGCCAAAGTGGATCATGAGGGAATTGGGGAGAATAAAGGGATGTTTTCCTGACAGAAAATAACAGCAGCTGAAGAACTGAGCCTTGGTGTCATAAACCCTTAAATGTGTCATCTTTAGAGCTTAAATATGCCCAGATTTATTCATAATAAGTACATTTCTTTGTGATCACTGGTGATGTAATTCCAGCAGACACATTGGAGCATTTGACAAAACTAACATTTGATTTGGGGCATCAAAGCCAAAGGTTCAGCATTTTTTCTCGTTGGCCAATGTTTTTTAAGGGAATGAAAAACAAAATGTTCTTTCTGGTTGACAACTACCATTGTTGAATTTAAAAAACCTTATAAGTGTTTAAACAACATTAGGAATGTGAATCATTTTAAGGATTTATACCCGTTTAAATGCATAAAATCAGCAGTTTTAAGGTTCAACGTGCTCAAAGTGTGTCCACATAATTTACAAGTATCTGAATCTAAAGGGAAGCAGATGTGTTTCCTGCTTCGTGGTGATGAACAAGAGGTATTGATAAAGTGCCTGAAGAGGTGAACTTGTTGCTTTACAGTTTGTTTTTGCTTACCTTAATGATGCAGTGCTCACAAAAATCCCTTCATCCACCGATCTACTTGGCAACAACAGATTATTTTTCCTATTTAACAAGAATTTGAAATACTTTTTTTTAAATTGCTAAATAGCCTCGTTCTGATTATTTAATGCTTACTGTGGTTTAAATACTGCACACAATAAAGTCCCTCCCTTTAATTCTGTATTAAGGTTTTCAGCCCATAACTCAAGCTGTAGCACATGTACAGTAGGAGCAGTAAAAAAACAAAAAACAAAAAAAAAAAAACACTGACAGTAGCAGGCACAATACAAATGTCCGTTCATATCAAATACATGTCATATATGCACAGAACACGATTATAAAACTGGCCCAACGCGAACCAAACTTCCTAGCCTTTTGTTTTTTCCTTTTTTGTATTATTTTTTAAAGTCCAGCAAACTTCCCAATCGCCTTTGTTGAAGATGGTGTGCCAGGAATTAGACCACTGAGGACATTTTGTGTTGACAATGAGATGCTGAAAGGTCGTCACCCTGTTAGCTCAGATATTCACTTGGGTTAAAATGTTAAGATGAGTGTTTATGGCAAACCAATTTATCATAAAGTAGACAAGATATTTCTTCTCTGTCAAAAGTCAGATTCTTTCAGTCGAACAAAATAGCACATGTTTTATACAATTCCAGCTGCCTCTTCAAAATGAAAGTTTGTATTATTCTATTCCGGTGCCAACATTCTTTTGTACAAAGAGTTGCAGAAATGTCCTTTTATTTGACACGTCACGTGGTCAAAATTCAATATTGCTGCTACAAAGATAAAAGATAGCGGCAGTGATAAACTGCTCATCTGCACTTCCAATGTCATAAAATCTGTAAGCCTCATATAAACGCAAAATGCACAATATGTAATTACACTTCAGGCCTGGAGCCATGTATTTATTTACTGAAGGAATCCTTTCCACTGGTGAACTGAGGCATGGGTATCGCATGTCTGGATGAACATCTGGGTTCAGACACTGGGTGACGGGAAGACAGCTCCTCAGTGGTCTTGTTTTTGCCACACCACCCTCCACTGTCACCCGCTGTAGCTGGAGGTGCAGCACATGTCGGGACGCAAAGCAAAGAAAGCAGAGAGACTGTCTGAAAGACTTTTTTTTTTTTTTTTTTTTTCTGGCTAGACAAGAAATTTGCTACTTTTCTTTTGACGTTTTTCCTCCCAAACCTTCATCAGAGCCCGTCAACGTTCCTTTATGTCAAACTGGAGCTAAAGAGTTGGATTCGCCCTCCTCACTCAAGGCTCGGGTTCTGTGTATCTAAAATAAAAAACCCAAACATTAGTGAACACCCATCGAAGGGAAATTGGTAAAGGTTTACAGTCTGTGACAGGAAACCAAGTCGTTTTCATCAGGATGTGTTGAGATGAAACAATTCACTCGGGTTCACTGGGGAAAGCTGGACGCTTTACTTCCTAAAATATTTACTACAAAAGGTTTAAGTATTTTGCAAGAAAAACCCCAGAGAGAAATCAACACAGTTTGGCCTGTTACTTGGATTTTTTTTTCTTTTTTTTCTAAAAGTAAACGCCTCAGCAAATTTAAGAGGTTAGTGGAGGATAAACAGTGATGGGTATCTTAAAAAAAAAAAAAAAAAAAAAAAAAGTCCAGTGAAAGTAATGAGGAAGGCATTGCAACTCCTCTACGTGGTGGTGTGGAGCAGGTGGAGCAGGTGGAGCAGGAAGCGGGGCGAGGCGGGGGCACGTTCACAAGCCCTGCTTGGCCAGAGAGGCGGACACCTGGTCGGCCAGCGTGGAGAGCTGCGGGGAGTCGGTCATGTTGATGCTGCCGGAGGACGACACGGTGCTGAGCTGCTGGGGCGAGTCTTCCAGGGAGATGATCTCAGCGCCGTGGTCGGTGCGCGCCTTGGCCGTCTCACGGAAGTTCAGCTTGTGGCTCTCAATCTGCAAACCGGTGGAAAAGGTCAGATTTATGACCCCTGTTGAGGTAATTAGACTCTGAGGAGTTTCAGAAATCTGAGGGACTTCAGTACGTTTTATACGATACAGACAAACACGAAGCAACACAAAGTGTCTGAAATGAAACTCCCAACATGAAGCATGGGGGTGGCAGCATTATGCTTTGGGGAAGTTTTACTGAATGGAGCTAAAGTACAGAAAACCAGTTTGAGGCTGAAGAGCTTTGACGACCATTCATCGACCTTAAACCAGCATAAATCAAATCAAAGCATATTAATATGTATTAGAATGGCCTAATCAAAGTCCAGAGCAGTGGCCTGCAACAAGTGGTTCTTTGGGTGTTCCACAATGGCTCATTAAAACTTTGACTAAAAACAAAGTAACATTTCTAAATGAATAAATGCACATTTTAGTTGCATTTAAACTAATAACAGTCACGTTATTCAAACTTATTTTTATGTGGTTAGATTGGAAACGATGAGCTTTTATTTAGCTGCGTTGACATCTGAGAGAAGAAGATATATCCATCCTCTATTTGTAAAGGTTTTTGGGTTTCTATTTGTTTTAAAAATCTAAAAATAGTCTAGAGCTAAATAAAAATTGAGACTCAGTAGTAAGACTTGAAAACTTGTGTTCACAAAGGTTCTGTATCCAGTCTGACTCAGACTGGAAAGAGTAAGTCAACATGCGGAGCTGGTGGACCGCAAGAGGCGAGAAGCTAAGCCTGCAGCAAAACGTGGTTTTTCAAAGCATCAGTTTGGAAACAATGAAATATTTTCTTTCCGCTTCTTCAGGTTTGTGCCACTTTGTGTTGGTTTATAAGTTTAAATCTCAGTAAAATACACTGAAGTTTGTGAATGTAGCAAGACGACCGCAATACAAATAATAGTTAACATGATCATTTTTATATTTAATAGTATGTCATTGCAAATGTACAAATTTAACTTTTTCAGAGTAAAGAAGGCCTGAAGAAGTGCGACATGCGGCAGCACTCCCTCTGCTGGACAACATGCACAAGTGCATCAATCCCCCCAAGTTCCAGAGGAAACTCGTTTTCTTTGTGAAATCCTGCAACTCGCTCATACTTACGCGAGTCCTCAATCTTTATGAGAGGGTTCGTCAGGATGGGTGTGGTAGGTGCTGAAGGGACAGTCTGAGGTGACTGAGGGGGGGTGACAACAGGGGAGGGGATGGACATGCTGTCTGAGACGCTCCCCTCCGCGTCCTTGCCCTTCTCCCGCTACACAGGAGCCCCGGCGGGGAGAAATGACAACGCATGCAACAAAAACAAATGGGATGGTTTCAACAGAAACAATAATAAGAAAAAGAAAAAGCAATATTTGACCGATAATAATGCAAATAATGAGAACTTTGTTATGAAATAATAATTAAAAAAGAATTTTAATGAAGGAAATACAATGAAAGAAGCTCTAATGGAGGAGGAGGCAAGCGGTGATGAGAAACAGATGAGCCTTCGATACGCTGCAGAAACCTGCTGCTTGGGTTTAAACCCCTCTGGAATATTATCACTCATGATTCTCACATTATAGGTTTCTATAAAAAAACAAATGGGATCAATACAACCAGAACCAGAACTTTAGCTCCTTTTCACTAGTCTCCACTTCATAGCTGATTTTAGAAAACAGTGTTGCCAACATTCTAGTTAATTTACTGGTCTATCAAATGTATGTTATCCTCTAGTATGTATCTTTACCAATCAATAAATGTTGCTAAACTAATGGAAAATCGATCATGTTATTCAAAAAGGTAAATAATACTAATACTAAATATTTTTATCTATTTCAATGCTTTACACCACAACTGTTTCTTTTGAACTCTATTAGAATGAAGTTAATGTTCTGGAAGAAGGAAGAGACACAGAGATCTTCAACTGCAGGAAGGATGAGACGTCTCTACCTTCCTCTGTCCACCTCCGGGGACGTGACCAATGTTGTCCAGGGAGCCGACTTTGGACTGAACTTTAAACTCTAGCTTCTCGGTTTTGATCTCCACGTTTCCACCACCTTAAAAGAAACCGAGTAGTTAATGAATTACAGAGGTTCAAAAACAAATCCCCAAAACCGGCACCAGTACACCCACCAGTACACCCATTCAAAGCAAGTCTTTCTGGAAACATTAGCTTTTTTTTTTTTTCATTTTTAAGCACTTTTGACATATAGCAGCAGCTGATGTGTGAATTTACCTGGCTTGTGACGAATGTTGTCTTTCGATCCACATTTTGATGTAACGTTGCTCAAATCAATCTTTTTGTGCACAATTTGAACCTACAGAAGAAACAAAGCAGAGAGCAGGAGGACAGTTTTCACCAAAAACTAAACATCACATCACTTTCAACTGTAGCATTTTGTAGGTCTGTTAGTTTGTTTCCAAGAAGGTAGAAACTGGTCAATAAAACAGCACATTAGAGAGCAGACTACTATTAAATCCAGTTTTAGTACTGAACTAAAAAAAATGGCCGAGCTTAAAGTGCATGCATCATCAAATTTCAGAGCCTGAAAACAGATATATATGAAAAGTATGAAATATATATAAAATGCAAAGTAATTTTTTAATGGTTTTCAAAGCAGATAAGTATAACAGGAAGAGCCGTTAAGTGGAAATTATTTCAAACATCAGTCTTATGATGTCCATCAAAACTGTCTCTGTTGGAAACATGTTTTACCCCAAGACTAAAACTGTAGGAACTATTATAAACTCAGATTTGAGGGAAAGAACAAACTGTGATGGTGGAGAGATGATGCTTGCGGATTAGATTTAATCCACAGCTATGGTGTGTATTCATACCATGATCTCACACCTGAACTGCAGACTTTGCAGATTAATAATTTGTCGTCAGTGTTTCTCCAAATGAGCCAGCCTCACCTCACTCTTGGGCAATTTTCAGCTGCACCATTGACATTCTTGTTCTTTCTATCTCTTTTTTTTCTTTTACTTTAAAAATCTAACTAAGTAGCTCAGTTTTCTTTTCTTCCTTTTTTACATATTCATCTTAATTCAGTCATGGAAATGGCTACAAGTCTCAACTCAGTCGAAAATGTTGTAAAAATGATGATGCATGGCCTTCATGTTTATGCTCATTTTAAACTCTGCGCTCACGCTGCACGTTTGTCATTTGCAGATGAAAGCCAGTCTGTGCACCACAGTGCTAGCCTGGAGTGACCTCATCTTACGGTCAATTGTGTGGCAACACAAAGTGCTCAGTCTTTCCTCTGTGAGGTCGAGGACAACAGGCTTAGCTTGGAGAGGAGAGCAAGGACAGAGGCTCTTTGTAGCTCCTGCTGCACAATTAGTTCATTTCATTCAGATGTTTCCAACTACATTTTAGTTAAAAAAAAGTTTTGAGGAAGAACCACACAGGACACACTGGATTCACGCATGCAGGTTCAGGGTCCAGATTGGATGGTTGGTGGCAGTCAAACGGACACATTCAACAGTTATAAAGCTTACGTTACACCATGAGCATTTTATTCACCAAACTGGTCTGCAAAACCGACAGCATCGCTTAGTGACGACTGATGACGAGAGGAGACATGGAGAAGGGAAGGTCTGCAGGACAAAATGCTCATGACTGCTCATCAGTTCAGGGATAAAACTGTTATTTGCAGGCGTTAAGAGGTCAAAGTGGCAGGAGGGTCGAGGTCAGAGCGGGTTGGACACAGACTGGAGGTTTCGTGCAATCCTTCTTCTTCTTCTTCAGGATGCATTTAGCACACCTGCAGCCATGTTTTACTCACATTGCCACCACCGGGTACATGTTTCATATTATCTTTGGAGCCACAGCGGGACTGCACACTGCTTAAATCCAGCTTCTTATCAAGAATTTGCACCTGGATAGTTTTTTTTTTTTTTTTTTTGTGGAGGGAAAAACATAATGTTATCTTGCAGAAAGAGAAATGACACTGAGGAGAGTTTCTGAGGAGAAAACTGGAGTTCAGGGGAGTCAGGCTAATCCAGTTGACTAAGAAAATCATATCTAAAAGGCTTACAACTATAATCAGTTAAATGATAGTGTTGGTATTTGTTTTAGTTTGGTACTGGAGCCAAAGTTATCATTTTAAAGATTTCAGAGGCTTTTAAATCGTTAAGAAAAAGACATCTGTCAAACATCTGACACTTTCAGGGAATGACCGTAATGATACTATGTTGAAGATCAATTTTATCCTTTGAAAAAAAATCATCCCGGTAAAACGAAGATATTAGAATTGAAAAAGTGAATAAAAGTGCTGGTTAGTCACAGAGTTCCCTGTTTGTGTCCTATCTGGATCACTGAGGGGAATTGTTGGATGGATTTGTTGAAGAACTGCTGAGGACGGTGTCGGGTTCATCCCTACTCACGTTGCCTCCACCGGGAGCATGTTTTATATTGTCTTTGGAGCCACACTTAGACTGGACAGTACTAAAGTCCAACTTCTGATCAAGTATTTTAACCTGGAAAAGTGCAGAAGTGAGGGGAAGAGGCTGTTATTGTCAGAATCACTGAAAGCAGCTGTTTTGTGTTTATTTAAAAAAATAATAGTAATAATTAAAAAAACAGACTCAATGTGATTGCTCTGACACAATAATGTCTCTGAAGTGTAAATACAGATAGGTAGCATTTCAAAAGGAGCCACACATGTGGCTGCAACACATCCTGAAACTCTTTATAGAAGCCAGAGATATAAAAGTGAAACAGATTTCCTACCCTTCCTCCTCCAGGCTTGTGCTTTAAGTTGTCTTTAGAACCACAGCGAGCTTGGACGTTGGATAAGTCCAGCTTCTTATCGAGAATTTGGACCTGAAGAAAAGCAACAAAGGGTAGGTCAGAGGATCTGCACAGGAAGAATAGCTGAAGAGGAAGAGGAGACATTTTGAATTAGGAAATTAAGTTAATTAGACTCTTTGTGTTAAAGCTGCCATTCATAGCTTTGCATTTTTGATTTACTTCCTCAAGTCGCCTCAGGAACGGTACGACTGTTACGGCGACTCGTGAAAGCGATTCGTTGCACTGGAGTAGAAAAGGCTAAATGCACGTGCATGCCACACTTTTCAGATTTTTATTGATGTAAAAAAAAAAAAAGTCCATCTTCAAAATTTTTATGTGGCAAAATGTCAATAAAATAAAAATATCATTCAAAAGGTGTTAATACTTTTGAAGTCATACATGAATCAACCATTGACCTAAAATTAGCAAAAAAATCAAAGTCTGGCGTGAAAATGTAAATATGTGATGGTTTTTAATATAATCTGGGATTTCAGCCGTCTGGCTTCACTTCCAAGATTCTAAATCAAATTTTACAGCCAAATTTACAGCATAAAACACCAACAATGTTTTCCAGATGATATCAAAGGCAAAATTCATTTTTTTTACTCTATTGGTTAAAGTAATATGCTACAAAACAGTTACAAATGCCAGCTTTAATTTATTATAAATCTCATTTCGTACCTCATTTTAGACCATAAATGATCAATTTACTTTTATTCTACAAATTCCTGTTATTAGGAGCTTACCCTTTCATTTTTCAACTTAGAATTTTTCAACTATTTAATTATCCAAAAGGTTGGATTTAATTGTCATAACTGCAGACAAACTCAAGGGCTTTGAGTTCGTCTCCCAGTTACTCACATTTCCTCCCCCTGGCTTGTGTTTGACATTGTCTTTGGAGCCACACTTAGACTGCACACTACTAAAGTCCAACTTCTGCTCCACGATTTGCACCTGGAAAAATGAAAACGGCAGCTTTTAGATGGAGAGCAAAAAGAAGCAAACTTAAGATTTGAGCTGAAAAGGTCGTCACATTGAGCAGCAGGAATCCATGCAACCGCATGCAGGCTGGAGAATGGGTCAGCTTTTCTCGTTGGCTTCCAGTGGTGCTAACTAGAAGTAGTGCTGGCTAAAAGCTGTCCATGTAATGCTTTTCATGTCGCCAGTGAGAACCTGACATGTGACTATGCCAGCATAAAATTAGACCAAAGGCTTGCAGTGTCTTTGTGTTCAAAATAAACCTCCACATCTATATCAATCTTACAAAGCAGTCACATATTCATACACCAACAATGTGTTGTGTGTTAAAATGAGAAATGGAAATGTTTCCACAAATATGTTGACTTTTAATGCAGAAAAACAGACTGATTTTAATTTAAATCTGATTTCAAGGAACCAAAACTATTCACAAGGACAAAATATTAAAGTAAAAGTCATTGAATTAATAATGATTATGACACATACTGCATAAGAAATTACTATTGGTGCTGCAAAAGCTCATGCAAAATACATTAAGTTTCTTCCAAAATAGCATTTGCTACTAAAAGCAGGAAAACAGGGCTTTATCAGTGGGTGTCACTGTCAGAATTGAATGTAAGTGAATGTACTTTGCCCTACTGATCAAATTTCTTGCTGCCTGTTTTGTGAAAACCAGCTCCAATAAAATAAGCCAAGGTTGCAAAACCTGCATTGCACAAGAAACTGACAGCTTTCCTTTGACGTCAGGTTATTTTTGATAGACCTGAAACCAGATATTTACTCTGGAAGACGCACGTCTTCCTCCCTGACTGACATTAAATCTGATTGAACTGTTCCAAATTTAATTCAGCAAGAATTATTAAGGAAATTGTTTATATTTGCTTAATACCAGAATATTGAGGGGTTTTGTTATTTGTTCATTGCTTTAATCCTAAATAATAAATGTAAAAATCATATCTTAATCTTATCAACATGTTCTTAAAAGAGACTCGAAGAAGAAGGGAATACTCCAAAAGCAACATACCAAGCCAGAGAGCAGACAGCAAAGATCTTAATTTTTGGAGACGTGCTCCAAAAACAGTTTGAAAAATAAATAGTTTATTGAGACTGAATCTCAGACAGATGGGCACAGGGGGAAAAAAATCATGTTTTTAAATAGCCTACAGAAATATCTTGTTTCATCTGTAAATAACAAAACAAGGAGGAAACATTATTAGGACACATTACAGTATGACTACAGTAATGTGTCCTAATCCTGGTCTTTTGTGTCTCCTTGCTGCCTCACACTTGATTTAAATAACTGGGTGATTAAAATGCTTCAGCGGCGCTTCAAGAACATGCAGAGAAGGTCATGCAAACAGAAACAAAACATGTAGGACAGAGAGGCCTGCGGACCGAGGTTTACAACCACTAAACTAGTTCAGTACTGTTTATGTCTATCAGTAAATAACATCTTCAGAAAACAGCTGAAGCCATGTGTTAGCTAGGTGTAGAGAAAACAATAAAAAAAAAAAAAATTGCACGCTCTGTGTTGTTTATGCTCACTAACTGAATCTTTAATCAAAGAAGAAAGCTTGAGATGTGCCAACAAGTACAGTGAGTTACCTTCCCACCTCCAGGCTGGTGTTTCATGTTGTCTGTGGAGCCGACCTTTGACCTGACGTTTTTCAGGTCAGGCAGCGGCGCCGCAGCAGCCAGAGGAGCCGGAGAACGGCTTTTCAGCGATCCCGGAGATTTCGGATTGGAACGTACAACCGCGACCTTTTTCACTTTGTTGGCTTCGGCGGCGGAAAGTGCCTGGCTGCCGGGGGACTTGGGCGTACCAGGGCTGCTCTGCCCACTCCTGGCATCTAAAACAATAAAACAAATCAGACGTGAGGTTTTTTTTTTAAACAACCGTGAAGGATAAATGGTTGAGGCAAGGGTAAAAGAATAAAGTAAATACTAACTAGAAGCACTGCTGGCTAAAAGCTGACCAAGTTTGATTCTTCAGATCAAACTTGGTGTGTTTTTTTTTTTTATTTGGGCCATGCAAATAGGCAATCTCCAACTATTAGCTGATTTGGGTTACCTTTTTCAATTTTTGGAGTGGGAGGTTTCTTGGCACTAGCTGTGTCACAAATAATAACAAATTCTTGAATCTTTAAACTTATGTACAGAAAATGAAATACAATGAACTGTGCTTTCCCCAGGTTCTCACCTGGTTGAGCTGCACTTCTGGCAGTAGTTTTGGCTCCTTGGACTTGAGGCTTCGCAGCACCAGCACCCTGAAAATCAGCATAACAGCAGGTTAGTTTCCACGAGGGAGAAAAGTTGACGTGGTTCTTTAAAAAGAAACAAAAACATCAACTTAAAGGAAAGACAGGTTTGTTTGAGTCTGGCATTCACATAAAATGTTAAAAACAATAAACAAAGATTAAAAAAACAATGATTTGTCATGATGAAAAATCTTCAGGCTGATGGAAGAATGTTTTTTTTTTCTTTCCATCCGGTTCAGACCCCTGACCTGTAGTCTGTCAGACCGGTACTTACTCCGGGCTGCCGGGGCCCTGGGCTGCTGGTGGCTTTAATGGGGATGGAGCTGTGGCCGTTTCGGGAGGAACCGGGCGTTTTGTTGCCCTTGGTGACAACAGTGGGTCTTTTAAGGTAAGAGGGTGGTGTGGAGACAGTTTGACTCTTTGTCATGAGAAGGAAAGAAATGAATGAAAAACAAAAACTCAAATGATACCAAACATAAAATGAAAGAATGATTTAACAACTCAAGGATGGCAAAAACAAAAGATGTATGGATTCCGTGTCTAAGAATAATTCTGGTGTAGTAACTGGTCATAGTTCTGATTTTTTAAATACCCTTCCTTATGTAAATGAATCTTGATGTTGCTGATAATACTTTATGAGGATTTCGTTAATATGCTGGAAGGTGTACCCAAAATGCTATTGTCTTGACGATTGCAACGTTTCAGAGCATCCACCACACTGCGAGTGGCACGTTTTCCTGGAGAACAGCTACAGATATGTACTTCCAATTCATTCCAAGGAATTATGTTTATATACAATAATCTATTGCAAAAGTATTTTCTCATTCTCTGGCGCTTTGTCGATTCCAGCAACCTGTGCAGCTGGTGAAGTTTTCTCATTTCGAAATAATCCAGCGTGAATAGTTAGTGAAATTATAACAAAGTGGAAGTGTCTGGGAACAAGAACAAGTGTCATGTAAGGTCACAGAGACTCATTCTGGCAGTAATTACTGCTGAGTAAGTGAAAAGTTTGGTGGAGGCATTAGAGTGTGGCTTCATTTTTCAAGAGCAATGATGTGCCCCTCATTTCCCATGATAGGGTTTTTTTTTTTTCAGCTAAAAAAAAAAAATTCTTTCTCCCAATTTTGCGTGAACAATTTGGACTCTGGTTTGGACGTGATCGCACACCAGTGCACAAAGAAAAGTCCAATAAGACGAGGATGAGCAGCTTTGGTGTGGAAGAACGTGACAGAACCTGGACGTTTCTGTCACGTTCAAAAGACAAATTAGCTTCTCTGGTTACATTGAGAACCAGAAAATCTAACAACATGACAGAACAAACCTTCTCGTCCAGCATTAGCATCTGATCTCATGGAAAGTCTTCCTTACTGAGTTGAAGCTGTTTGGATTGCAAAGAGTGGGATAAGTTATATTATGATTACTTTGGGACATATAATGTAGTGCTGATAATAGATGTTACCGGGACAAAAAATAATCAGTAAGACTTATTTGGGAAACCTCCAACAGGTGGCGCTCTGACAGTATTTTGTTCAGATGACAAAACACTTCAACTCAAAAGAAATAATCACTCTGAAAGGTTTTTATACACCAGAATTATCCTTTCATAATATTTTACATATTTCAGACAAATGATGCTCTTGGTCACATACCTTATCTCCATTATTTGTCTTTACTTGAGCTACAAAAGAAAACAAAAGTCAAATTTATGTCATAGCTTTAATTTCGGCTTCAGATTCTTCAAGGTGAAATAAGTCAACGCATTTCCCTCCAAGTGTTTGTCACAAATCCCTATTATGGCTAACGAATGAAAATGCACAACATGAAATAGGATGTGTCGGTTACGCAGCATGCAGAGTGAAATAAAATGCGTGTTTACAAGCAGGGCGTGTCTGTTTTGGGCTGCATGACCAGCTGGGTGGGCAGAGATGGAAACAGAAAGCTAAAGTGTGGGATTGGGGGAGGGAGACAACAAGCTCCTCAGCTTAAAGGTAACATCCTTGGAAATAATTTGGAGAAACAGTGCTGCATAACAGAGAGGCGAAGCTGCATTTGTAAATCAAACATGTGGAAGGAGTCAACTGAAGCAGGGCTGGTTCTGAACTGGTGAACGTGACAGCAAACAGACCTTTGAAAACAGCGACCGGCACCAGAGACTTTCTGGCTGCAGGGCTTGGGCAGGGACATTTCTGGAGCTGGGAGGAGGCTTGAGCAACACTGCTCTTCTGTAAGTCATTGGAAATGTCAGGCTTTGAATCGCTGGCCCTGTGTGGTGATGACTCACTGCTGTTTTCAGCCTCTGCGTCACATGGCGGTTTGGTGAAGGGACGATGCTTCCCAGAAATGCTCCCAGTGATGTGTGTTGGAGGGAGATCTTGTGAATGTGAATCAAAACCAGATTCTGACAGCCTTTGTTTCTGGAGACTTTGCTTTGTTTCTGAAGGGATATTTTTGCTTCTGGAGTCACTGTGACTCTTTGTTTCAGCTCCTTCGACAGGCAGTCCATCTTTTATCTGCTCCTCCTCCTGGTTATCCCACAAGCTTCTGTCTTCAATGGCTGTCAGGTCCTCCAAAGCTGTGCTGCGGACTAAAAACGTCGCAGGCGTGTCGTTCATTTTCACCAGGCACTCAGATGCATCCAGGCTTATTGCCCTCTGTGAATCAGCAGCCGCGGTCCACTCAGGGCTCCCCCTGCTGGCCTCTATGTCCTGCCTCATCTCTGACCTGCAGCTGAGATCTTCAGAGGCCCATAAAGACTCACTTAACCTCTTCCCACACTGTCCCACCGACTTTTGTCCTGGGTCTGGGGAAGAGGAAGCTTCAATGACTTTCTCAGCAGCTCCATGCTCAGCTGGAGCAAACTCACCATTAGCAGGCCTCAATAATTTGGCTTGAAAACCATGTTAAAAGAAACCCAAAAACATTTACAGCACTTGTTTTCCACCTCCCCATAAAACAGAAATGAAAATTGAAATAAGGGAAAATATGAGATCACTGAGCAAACACAACAAAAACTTAAAATGAGAACTGAAAGATGAAATTTAAAACAAACTGAGACAGTAATACACAACACTTGAGTGAGAAAAGATGTTGCATTCCAGAAAAAGCACAAAAGCACCACCACTGACACTACTGCTTGCAAAATGGCATCACATGTTGTCCATTAATACAATCTGGTGTTGAAGTGAAGTGAAAAACAAATGAAACACGGTGTTTCAAGATACATAGTAGTGTCTAAACACATGTTTCTGATGAAATATAAAGAAACAAATTTAATAAGCCATTTTGAATTCAATGTTGAAGCCTACATTGTTATTGTTGGCAGGTCAACTAACCGAGCTACGAAACTTACAGACATACATGCTAATCTTGTAGCCATCTGCAAGGTTATGTAAATATTAAGTCTCTTATATTGTGATTAGAAAAAAGAAGAAACTATTTTTTTTTTGCATAAAACATGCCAATGTGTGAGTGTCATTAGACTATAAAACTGTTTTATTGAAAGTTGTTTTATCATCTGACATTTGAAATACAACATAAAAAACAAATTCTATTCTGTTTTTCTATTGTTTTTTTTTGTTAGCAGATGAAGAAGTTTAATATGTACATTTCAAAAAGTGTCTTACGAGTCTCAACAGCAGAAATGAGAAGCCATTTCTTCTACGAGCTCATCATCAATACAGCATGATGAGCTCGTATTTTTAACGCACACACTTTGAAACTCCATGTCTGTAAAACTTAACTTTTCCTGACAAACGAAAACACTTACAATGACAGTATGTTACTGTCATAGTGTGGTTATTTATTTTTTTAGACAAAAAATAAATGATATTTTACAACAAAAATAATCCATGCGGGAAACGTTGGTGAGTTTCATGTAAAGTAAACACAGGCAGGGAGGGTGGATTTCTCCCCATGCATCACAAAATGTTCCTACTGCATGTTGGACACATATTTGCATTGGAAAATGTGGATGCTGTTTGTGAGCATAAAGTTTGTCAAGTAAAATAGAGGAAAAAAGTGAATAGTCAAATTAGCTTGAGCAACATCATTATTTCTGTGTTTCGGCTGAGACAAATGAAGAAAAACATTAACTATAGTTGCCATCCTGATATTTCCTGTCCAACCATCGTTTGGGTAGCGTTAGCTTGAAGCCAAATGTCGTGTCATGAGAAAAAAAGCCCATCTAAGTAACAGCGGCTGGTACAGAACCAGAACTTGCATCTCACCTGAATGTTTTTGATTTATTGATTCAAGTCAGATTTTGTTGCAAGTGGTCATTTCTCACTGTGGTACTCTACAGGCTGCATGGTTTTCATATCCTTACGTATTGAGTCACATTTCATTCCAAGCTGAAGTTCTCAGACTTTTGACTTGCTCTTTCTCACTACAGAAATTACCACACACATTCTCACTTTATCAGCTCAGTTACAAGCTGGAGATGATGCCCTCGTTGCTATTTTCCTGGGTGTTCATTAGAAGTGTCTCATTGTTGCTTCTGCGACTTTCTGCTAAGTTACAGGCTTTAGATGTTTCTCAAATTTTGGACACAGTGATATATAAGAACCTTTGTGAACTTCAAGGCTGAACACCATTCTGATAACTTATATTGAAAAACGAGTTATTAAACAACAACATTTCAGTTGCCTGAAATTAATATAAGCAATAAATATGCTTCTAAAATTCTGACACTGAAGTCAAAAATAAAAATCTTAAAAATAAAAAACAACAACAAAAAACTCCTCTTTGGTGGGAATGTGTACATGCAAAGAAAACCCTCCCTTTAAATAGATTGAACATTTTTATGGTTATACAAATTACAGCATTTTAAAAGGACAGTAGTTTTAGCATGAAAAAATGTATCCTTACAGCTTTGATAAAAACATTTTACAAATCCCTCCATCCAAGAACTGAAAATTCAAATATCAGAAAATACAAAATCAACAAAATCCAGAGAAATATGAGCCGAATTATTATATATATTCAAATCTTAAAAATACTTATGTTTATTATGCAAACATTATAATTAAAAAATATATACATTTTCCTTCATGTCAACATTCATTAGCCCAGTCTGAGCAGAGTAGCTGTGTTCAATAAATGACACAATCTTTACAACCTGCTTGAAAATCCCCACAAGACCTTTCAATCCCTTTAGGCTACGTTCTTGCACAGCTGGTGTTGTAAGTGTACTTATATCTGTCTTCAGCAGTCACTAAATGACTTTTAAGTGGAATCAATGAGAGATATAGCAGCCTACCTGTTGAAGAGGCTCCTCCTGCTGCTCGTTGATCGGTATGAGACAAATGGATAAGACACAAGAGCTCAGTCAGTAATGTGTTTTGTTGTTCAAGACCGATTAATGCACTCACTCTTCACAAAGAAATCAATAAGCCTGCAAATAGCGTGTCTTCAATCAGTGCAGAAAGCCCACAGCCAATGCCTGTCAGTCACAGTAATGAAAAATGCAAAGGTATAAGGGAAAATATGCAAGAGTATAACAGCAAAAGAAGCACAGCAGGTTTCTACACACACACAAGGCTTGCATATGGACCATGTTAGCTGGTGTTTCAGCTGCTTAATGTTAGTGTGGCCTTTACCACAACGCAGAGCCGCGTATCTGCGTAACAAATTACACAAGTCTCCGGTCTGCATGTGGTCTGACCACTTCTTTCAGTCTGGAATAACCATCATGTGCAGCTAGATTAAAAAAAGGACTTCTTTGCTATTTTAGTGTGAGGATTGGGTTGCTGTTCTTTATAAAGCAGCATCAGAGAGCTTGCATTAGAGGGAAACCAAGCCAAAGCAAAAAAGTGAAAAGCCAAAAGAATAAAAAACATGTTTCGATTATACAGCTGAAATAAATATACATGTCACAAAAAAGAGCAGCTAGTAACTGTGGCCACAGCAATGTGAGTCTGATAACTTAAAAATACAAGTATTTATTCTATCATGTTATAGTAATTCCTCTTGGTTTGGAAAAATAGAAAGTAAATGTTTGATTTTGGTTGTGTCCCTGTATTTCTATTGGACTATTTATATATATATTATGATTTTCATTATCTCCTTTTTAGGTTTCCTTTAAAAAAATTGCTTCTGCAGCTAGACAAAAAATTGCTAATCACTGGCTGCTAACAGGCTAACATACATCTAGATAAAGCAGAATCGTTTTCTTATTAAAACTTAATCCTAGGGTATTTATCTAGAATTCAAACAACTTTTTGACAAAGCTGTAAAAATCGACAGAAGCACAAGAGATTGAAAAGAAGTGAGGCATACCAACTTGCTCCTGGTCCTCTTTCAAAGTGCTTTTATTTTCTGAGAGCTCAGAAGCAACTTCTGCTCCTTTCTCTGCAGGAGTAGCTGACAGGATAAAATTAAAAATCAGTCTTCAAATTAACTAAGCAGATTTATCTGGAATTTTCTGAAACAATTGTCCTCTGTCTGCACTAAGAGTTCTCTTCAACCTCATAACCTTTCCAGTCTCTTTGTTTAGGAGAAGCTTTCACTCTCTGTATTTGTGATCAAAGCATGCTGGCCCCAGGAAGGAATGACATTTTAGCGCTTGTTTCTAACAAGTACAGAAAGCCAGTATTTTCTGTCACAGTGGCTCCTGACAGGGTGACTACATGCAATTACAACGTCTTCCAGTAGCAGAACAACAGAGCAGATTTAAAGCAGGAAAACAAAAACTTCGATTAGTGTGGGTTGCATTTGGGAGACTGAAACAAAACACAGCTAGTGTCTCTCTGTAAAAGAAGAAAGGAATTGAGGGATAAGTTGAGCATAAAGTAAACCAAGCAGAAATTGGGAGCTGAAGCAGCTTTTCAAACATCGGGATTGGGGATTGTTTTCCAGGCGTTCGTACCAGGATGCAACTCGTCATCATATTGGTTGCTCTCTGGCTGAGAAAGTTCACACACAGTTTTCAGCCCATTTTCAGTGACCACTGCTTCTTCATCTGGAAATCAAAATTGAAGTTTATTTTTAAAAAAATAATAATAATGTAAAAAGTGACACCGAATGTTTTGCACTTTCAAAACTGTAGCTGTGAAGGAGAACTTTAGAAATATTGACACAAACTGTCTAATATTTAGATCAAAGTTTATAAAGACATTACCTTTCACTAAACTTAGCCCACTAGTATTTCGAAACAAACAATATTGTCTGTTTTTGATTTGTTTTCATGGGTTAAAAATATAACATTGTTATTTTGATATATTGTTTTGTTTTGTTTACTTGCCATAAGACAAAGGTGCTGTGGTATTGATAGGGACTCTACAGACTAACCACTACAACCTATCTTCACACTTCAACCACTACGCTGTACAAACTCGACATCTCCTACTTAAATGTGTTGATTAGATACTCACTTTGTCTTTCACTGCTTATTGATAAGTTGTTTAGCTTTGCAGATGAACGTGACTCTGTTGGCTGTGTCCTGTTAGTACACGGGATAATGGGAATTGGAAATGGGTATAACGACTGCACTAGTGAGGGCTGCAAACTGGGAAAAGCTAGGCTACGTACTAAGTGGCCATGTGGTATAATGGGATAAAAACAGGGGGGAAAAAAACACACTTCTGATGGATTTCAAACTGATTATTATCAGCAATGTAAGCAATCAACCCATGTTGAGATGAACAAAATAACAGAGATTTTTTTCTGCAACTTTCTTTTCGCAAGCTCAGTCACAAGGAGGGAAGTCAACGCAAACAGTGATATGACAGCAGCACAATGAATTCAAATAGATAGGGCTGAAATAGAAAGTGGAAGCGAGCTTCTAATTAAATAATAATAATAATAATAATAAAACCCAGGAGAAAACATATTGCTGATGAGTATGAAACATTAATATTGGCTGAAATGAAATTAAAATGAGACAAACTCTTGATATCATAAAACAATTTTTTCAGATTGCTTGAACTGCAACTTAAACGACTAACACGGGTCTCGTTCATGAACGTCTGACCCAGATACCCGGATTACAGAACCCAGTCCAGCTGAACTCCATCATCTATTGAATCTATTGTGTAAAGATTAAGACAAAAGAGGACAGAAAGTCAGGGCCCTGCCCCCTCACACAAATCTACATTTACAGTATTTACCATAATAATCTGGGATTAAAGCTCTGATATGAAAAAAAAAGTAATTAATCTGCATCCTGTGGGCGTCAAAGTTGGAAAGCACAACAAAAACATGTAAAAAGATTAGTTAAAGCACATTAAAAAGGAATTAATTACTATACTGACGTGAATTTACAGTGATGAAGATTTAATATTAATACCGTAAAGAAGAAAAATCTAAAATCTGTAATAAATTTTATTTTAATAAATAAACTTTTCTAACACAGTTGTTGATTTAAGAAGGTGCATGTCATGTATGTATTATTTATCGGAGATTTCAAATGTGTGGTGGTGATGAACGGGAGTTTCTTGGTTTGTTGACTACAGGCTAATTTCTAAACATACAAACTTAAATATGTATACGCCTACATACAAATATATGAACATTAAAATAAATCTTTTCAGGGTTAGGGACTTGTGTGTGTCATTGTCTGCTGCTGATGGCTGACCTTTCATTTTGACTCCGTTCTCCTGGTGATGCTGGTCATTGATGGTCATGTTCGTTAAGGAGGCACTGACGGTGTCTCCAGAACCGTAGCTGTTTGAGGCGTTGTTCATGTACTCCATTGCCAGTCAATAGTCAGGCTGCAAAAGAGGAAATGACAGAAAGTCAGGAGAACAGCCCAGAACGTGCCTCACGTCGAATAAGTCATAAACTTCGCATGCAGGGCAGCTTCGATGAACGAAGTGGCCTGGCTGGAGGGACTAAAGGTAATGATGACGCACTTGAGGTCCATCACCTCCAAATGTAAACAGACACTGGGCCTGTGCAAACCCGGTTATTTATACATCCTGACGTGGGGTCGATGCTTCATGTTACAGCCTCACAGACAAAAATAGCCCCCCTCCACTTTCCTCCCCTGGAGCCCATGTGCATGCTGTCCTCACTGTGACAAGCTGCACTTCCTGATCAGCCTCTTTGAGTTTACAGAAGCCGAACTCCCAACAAGTCGTCACAGTGCAAATTCTTCCTCCTGTGCCACGGTGAAACCCAGACGCTCCTTCAACCAGCCCACAACACATCAAAGCTCATAAAAAAAAGAGAGGATTACATATCAGCTTAAGCCCAAGCCTCTGGTTACATCAGTTCAAATCATATTTGTTAATGCCCTCTGTCACACGAACTGTCAGACCCCAGCAGTGTGGAAAGCTTATGCCATAATCAGCCTCTCCATCCAAACTGTGATGCAGATTTGGCAACTTCTAAGCTTTAGTTCCTCTCTGATGCCCATGTTGGCAAAGCAACATGCCGGTTTAATCTCTCAGAGGTACATTATTGCTGAAAGCCATCAGCTGCCAGTATACAGGTCACACTGTAAGGACACAAATTGGTTTGATGGAGAAAACTAAAGTTTTTTATTGGAAGAACATTTTAAAAACCATTTAACATTTTTACTTTTTTGCGGCTTTTTTATTTGGCATCCCCTGATGTACACATCTTAAGATAAAATTTGGCTGATCTGAGTCTCCCATTGTAATTCTGGAAATGCCAAATTCTACTTTTGGAGGAAAACTTACACTGAATACATCATCTCTCTTCTTTAAACATAGCAGTTGTCTCACCATGCTTTGGGATTGCTTTATTTTTCCCAGAAGGGACAGAAAACAATCCTGAATGACAACCTGTTAAGAGGCTGCAAATACTTCCCTTCCAGCGAGAAAACAAACTTTAACATACAATCAGAGCTACAACGGAATGGTTTAGTTTACATTATGTTAGTCTAGTGAAAATCCAGACATAAATACAATTTCAAATGCATGTCTGGCCCTAAAAGCTTCTTTTTCAAAGCATATTTTTGTTTATACACCTACCCATGTGTAAAGCTACTAAAGACATACCCCCAAAAGGGGTAAATGCAAAAAAAGGTTGTTGTGTACTCAAGGGAATAAAACCCATGTGTACAATTACACTATTTAAAAAAATAATAATAAAAGTTTGAAAACCACTTTACAATTTTATAATAATTGATACGGCTAAAATCCCAATAAAACACAGGAAAGCTTATGGTTATTTTACGACAAAACGTAAAAATCGTCTTTCAAATGTGTAAGTATTATTTTTTGCAAAATGCTTCAGGTGAATTATGGTGATCAAGACAGGAGCAGTTTTTTGTGGTTTAATTTTGAAATTCAAATTACAAACTGTAATGTTAGAATTTGAACATTGCAGCATGCAGTCATAAATAATAATGATATTTTTTTTTTAAATCAGTTTTCCAATGTTGCTTCAATTTGGAGTTGATCAACTGAATTTATGTCAACTTGCCGACCAGAGAGGGCCATAGAAATTATTTGATGTGCAAGAAACTGGTCAGGAATGGGTCAGGCTGTTGTTTTCCATGAAGCAGGAGAGTCTTATTATGGGAAGAATGCTACAGTAGCAAACTGTAGAACCCAAAAGAGAGGAACATGAGGGTGCACATATCTCCCTGCACTTAGTACAACTTCTATTTACAAGCACCAACACCTAAACTGTCGTCCTGGTTACTCTGCGGGTGTAAATACACCTGGCTCAGATATGCAACCTTCACTCTGCCTTCCTTCTTATCTTATGACCTCATGGCTGTTTAACACTTCCACTTTCGGCCCAGATGGCAGCAATGGGACAATCACACCCGGAGACAAGATCATTTTTCTGTCTCTGACTCTTTAAGTTTCAGATTTTTTCTGTTCTGCTTTGGTTTGGGGTGGCATTACTATGGACACAGATAAAATCAGGCAGACACATGCAGTTTCTGCATGTTTTTGCCCGTCTTCCATAACAGGAAGCCTTCGAAGCAGGTCGAACTGGGAGAGAAGGATATAATAAATCCTAAGAAAATCCAGTTATTTAACTCCTCTAGAAGAACAAAAACATAACGCCAAGGGCGCTCCTACTGCACACACTCATTTAACTGGATAGATGATCTGTTTATCTTGTAGCTAATTTCTTCATTTTGTTTTCAGAAAGTTATGTCATAAATTATGAAGTACAATTGAACTTTTTCATCATTTATCTTACATTTTACTTTCATGTAAAGTTTTGTATATATATATATATATGAGAAAATGCATTATATTGATTTGAAAACATTTTTTCACAAACATTTCACAGCTCCTTCTTGTCAAATGTGATCATTTATCTCTATGAAGTTTTTGTGCCATAATTAATGAGCCACATTAATATATTTCACCTCAATAATGTAGTTTTTATTACTTAAAAAAATGAAAACAAACATTTATCAAATACAAATTTAACACGTTAGACTCTACTTGTTAACTGCTAATGAAAATGAGTCAATGCACAAAACAAAGCAGTTAAAACTTTTCCATCCTAGTCCGCTACACAGTGTAGTTGTGATCAAAATTGTGTAAACAAGAATCTATACAGCAGACCTTTGTTACTTTTACTGATTCAGTTTATCTGAATTACTTTGCCACAGCCAGTTGCTGGAGAACTACAGAATAAAAGCAGCTCCTGTAATAAGAAAAAAAGTCTGTAAAGTGAAAGAGGGAGACACCAGCTGAATATAAATGGCAGAGTGTGTGTTGTATTGAAAATCCAATGAATAGTGTACTCTCGCTGAGCTGTGGGACAAAACACGTATTGTGGCTTCATGCATGACAGAATCCAAACAAGAAAAAGAAGAAAGCTGTAACACTGCCAACGAAGACAATCCCTCCAAGAGGCCGTTCACGCTGCATCCGGGAGCTCCGACAGCTGGAGAGCAAACAAACTCAGCGCTGATAAGAGAGCTGTCTCCTGCAGCTGCTCAGCAGACATACACACCACGAGTATATTAATGTAAAGCAGGGTTAACACACACTATTGCTAAACATTGAATCAGGAAAAGAAGTAACCCACATCACTCTAGAATCCCTCTGCGCATATCTCGTCCCAGGGCAGACTGGGATGTTAAAATTTAAACAAAGCTTAGTCACAATGACACATCTGTGTCGCTATAATTTAGCCATCTTCTCATAAGGGTTCATGTTTTAGTGACAGGCCAGGACCACCAAGTGGTGAGGCTGGTGGTAATTTAACCGGCAAATCCTTGTCCGGACGCATCCGTTAATCTCAGGTTGATCTGATTTGAGACTAAACACAAAGGCACACATTTCAACTCCTGCAGAAAAAGAACATGACAGAAAGGTTTGTTGCAGCTTTGCGAAGGGAGAAGGCTGAAAAGGTCTACTGCTGCATGCAACCTGATCCTCTCAAGGGCGTGCAAAAATGAGACCTTGGCACAGACGTCTCCTCTGCAAGAAGCTCGGTCAACAGGGATGTTGACACAGCTCCAGGAGCTCTCAGCACAGTGCAGGGTGACAGAGTGAGTTGGACAGGTCTGCTGAGTATGTATATAACTCTTAAAATTGCTTCATTCTTAATTGTATTCTTGTCAAGCATATAGGTGCATCTCCATAAATAAGAAATATCAACAAATGGTTAACTTATTTCAGCTCCTCATGGGGAATCCCAAAGCATCTCTAGGCCAAAATGAATGTACAATCTCCAGAGAGTTCTGGGTCTGCCCTGGATTCTCCTCTTGAATGAATACATGCAAGAATCCAAACGGGGATTGTTACTCAAAACACCTTGCATGAAAAGCTATAAAAAGACGGATTTTCTACTCCGGATGGAGCGATAAGTCTCAGTTTTATTCTTCTCCGCCATGTGTAAAATATAAAACCGGATGGACGATAGACTGGAGTTTGGTCTGGATGTTGCTTCTGTCTGTTAGACGAACGTTTATCCACGATGAGGTCTCAGGGGTTGAGGTCCAGAAAGGAAACATTGCTCTTTTTCTTCTGATGAAGGTTATCAGTCTCTAAGGGTTCAGATGCTTTTTTTTTTATGGCGTTTTATGAATTTGCTCATGATTCACATTTCACAACCGTGATAGTAGAAGTGTTGAGATCTGTGAGTCAAAAGCTTTGCTTTTTTGTCCCTTTTTCACCACAACAGACCAGAGCAGCACGACTCAATCCATCCGTCCATCTCCTGCTTCATTTGACCATCACTCATGAGCAAGGCACTGGCTTTTGGTGTGAATGTATAAATCCACTTTTTATGGTTGAACACTATGGCCTGACTCTACAGCTTCAGCACACAAAGAAACAGAACCATCATCTGCAAAAAGAAAAAGTTCTCAAGTCAGACACTCTCTACGCCCACAGTCAAAATGGTTGATGACGAGTTTGACCAATCCTGTAGTCCATAGCAACCAATGGTCCTGAAAGCAACCCAGCATCCTATAATCTCACATCACCTTCACAAAAAGCCCCAGCAGACATGTTTGTTAGCCTTTTCCAGCTCCTCAAATCACATGTGGACTGGATAAGCAAAGAGTCATGAGACGGGAAGCTACACAAATCAGAAAAACCCTTTTTGTGACAGTCGTATTGGATAAAAGACGTCCAGAGAATAAACTGAGGTTTATTTAATCTCTCTACTGACACCTCACAGTTAGTCGGAACGCAGAAAACCCAGCATAGTTTCTCAGTCTATCACATTAGCTATGAGCTCGGAAAACAAATAAGATGTTTTGTGCTTCTGCTCGATGTAAAATTTAAACCCGACTGGTTATGTTGCATAATTTCACTAATTGCGTCCTTGTGTAATTCCTCAGAGCTACATCAGGTCAAACCTAAAAAAAAAAAAAGGGGAGACTAGGATGCCGCGCGTGTGTGTGCCCGTCTCCTCAGCAGTGCAGCCCTTAGCTCAGCTGAAAGACGACGATGCTGCTCTGCTCTCATGCTTGATTGCTTCAGTTTCTCTGACCTACTTTCTTCATCATTTGCCTCTCGGCCGGCTCACTCAGCCTCCCAGCCTGCAGCTTCTGCGGGCTGGCTCTCTACTTTTGCAGTGTGAGAAAAGCTGTGGTGATGGGGAAGGCTGAAGGTGGGGCACTCTTTCATTTTCCATCTATAGTGTATTGCAAGACCGGCCAGCATGCATTGTTTTTATTATTATTTTGTTTTTTTCTTTGCTCATATGTGATGAACACAAACACCCTGCAATTGTGTCTAATGACGCCAACCACACCCACTCTCCACATGCTTTGTTCATCTTCAAAGATATAGCACCCTTCTTAAAAAAAAAAAAGAAAAGAAAAACAAATGAGACATAATCGACTTTCGCTTCCAGTTTGAAGAGGAGTCAAAGACACGCTGGATATCTTTAAACCACAATCTTTCACTGAGGAATTCAAAACATGAGGAACTCTTGAGGTTTAATTGTGCAAATCGTTTAACTGCTGAATGCTCGGAGACAAAAACACATCTACACACTCAGTTCTGTGAGAGAAATGAGCCACAGACTTCAATCAACAAGCTGCTAATTAACCAAGCAGAACAGTGAAGTTTTAAAGCCTGCTGAGCCTTTTCGTCTTCTGTCTGACGAGGAGAAGCTTTTTCTGACAGACGTTAGAACTCTGTCAGCTTTTCCTCTCTATTTTCAGCTTGGAGTAAATGCAAACATACAGGAGGGAAAATAACAGTTTTCACAGAGAATCAATTTAAAATATAAACCCTGAAAGTCAATACATGCAAAGCATAATCTGGGTGTTGCACCATGGTCTGGTTAGGATAAATTAATTGGTAAATGATCAGAGAGTGATCATTTACCAATTAATAGCCATGCTATATCACTTCCTACAAATCAAAGAAAGGGGCAGGAAGATATCATGTATAGGAAGCTAAAAAAAATAATTGTTTTTTGTTTTTAGAATATGAATAATACATCCATATAAACACATGTATACAAAAGTTGCTTAAATGTTCCAGCTTTATAGTGAAACGCAGGATAAAGACATGCCAGATACAAACCAAAGAAGTAAATTCAGTGATGTTGTCGGTTCTGCCAGCCTAAGCTCTCAGGGCAAAGCCGTCCAACGTGAGGCCGGCTGTTGGATGCGATCACATTTGGACTAAAGCCTAAAAGGGCCTCTCTGTGGTTCTCTGAGTGAGTTTTGACAAACAAGGCAAGTCTCTTGATTCAAATTTTTAATAATCTTTAAATATGTATCAACTATTTTTGCTTAAATGTACATTTGATACATGCGGATAAACTAATGTTTATTAGTTTATCCGCTCATATTAAAAAGTATTACCTTTTCATTAATTTCCATTAGTGTTTGTACACTGTGTGTTTGGATTTCATTTATTTTAAATCGCTTTTTTTTGTTATTATTTCTGCAATATTGAAACAATTTAATTTGAAATGTGAATTTCCTTCAAACAAAGTATGATGTCAGAGCAACACCATCACACAGCAACAGAATTCAACTTTGTGATCCTAAATTCTCCGTTAATATTTTGAGAAGCATAACGTCTTCAAAGCTCAAGCAGCAGTTTTCAAAAATTACATTATATAGCGTTACCACTAGAGACACGCAGCAGCTCCTGTGTGGCCCTTCAAGGACGCATGGGTGTAGACAACTGAGAACAAACTTATAAAGTGGTTTTCTTCACATTAACCATCAGATGAACGACAGTGAAAAACTGTAAATATTAAAGCTCTCGCACTATTTATTTTGTGATTTTTTTTGGGTTTGGTAGATTTGTCAAACAGTCGCTCAACTAAAAACATGAGCATAGACAGAAAACGAAATTTGAATTATAAAAGTGAATTAGACCCATGTTCAGTGCACACAAATCTTCCACTTCAAAGCCTGAGAGCTCTGCTCCTTTAAGGATCCTGAATAAAAACATTTCAAAGAATTACATAACAGCACAAACGATGATTGCATGACACATGCGCTGCAGCTCCTCCCAAAAGGATGGAGGGGGAGCAGGAATGCACTGGATTATCAACGGGGACGGGCATCTGGTAATGGCATCCTCATAATGGTTTTACTCCGTAAGCAGCACAGGGAGTGAAGCTGCAGTGAAACCTGACATCTGTCCAACAGATGTTTAATATGAGGGGAATAAAAGAAAAAACAATATATTCATTTTGTGAAAAACAGGAAAATGTCTGGAAATGTAATGAAATATCTTCTGCATTGTTTTATTTTGAATGTTTTCTTTACACGTTGATTAGATAAACGACCAAAAAGCCTCACATAACTGATGTTTTGTTGCAAAGTAGTAACATTTTAACTACTTTGCAGAGGAAGCACATCATTCAATTGATGATAATACTTTGAATAAAAACAAAACAAAAAAGCAAAGCATTTTTGCCAAAATATTTGTCTTATTATAGTTTATGTACATGTTGAGATTGAAGAAGGAATATGAGAACGAAGGCTGCTTCTTTATGAGCTGAACCATATTAAAATATGTTGCATATGAGCATAGAAGACAATAGAACAGCTGTACATAAACTAATGAAAACCATAAGCAGTACAAAGAGATATAGTTTATGCTAAACAAGACAAAGCATATGTCAACATTTAAGATTTTTACAAAGCTGAAAATCTGAGCAACAATGTCCTCTAAATGTTGGGAAATATGAATTTAGAGAAGTATAAACATTTTTGTTTGTTTTTATACCATTTTATTTATTTTTGCAATAGCTATTGTTTATTATTTAAACTGTTAATGACATTATTTGTTGGACAAAATGTAAGAAGGCATGACCAAAAACAATAACTGTTGGTTGCAGCTTTGCAGTAAAGGAACTCTAATTTGGACACATATCTGGACGTGGACTTCAGCACAGAGGAGAAAACTCATGAAAAGAATTGGTCTTTGCTAAATGTGTGCAAACCTGAGTTTGTACGTGCTCCTTAGACACAATGAAAATCTTGAACTTAAAATAGCCACACTGAGCAAACATACTCTCTGTACTGACAAAACTTATCCACATTTGTGCCCAATGGGAAGCCAAAACAGAGAGAGAATAAATTCAGCTGATTTGTGCCTCTGTAAATTTCATCTCTCCAGAAGAGTCACTGTTTTCCCTAAAGTTTAGAGGGGAGGGGTCCGTGTCTGTGTGAGCATTCCTGACCGTCACTCCAGTAACAATCCCAGCCAAAGTGCTGCAGAAACGTGCAGAAAAAACAGAGTGTCTCGGAGCATTAACAAGATGGCACCGAAGCGTCTTTTTTTCCTTCTTCTTTCAGTGGATCACCAGGCAGGTTGGAGAGGCTCCAAGCTGCGGTTACAGACTACAACATGCCTGCTCTGTGCGCACACACACACACACACGCACACACACAAATCAATGCTTTGCAAGTATGAGATGGAGGGGATGGATGGAGGACAAGGTGTGTCCGACTCCAAATCCATGCAGCTCGATACAACCCGCAGGTGTTATTGCATTAAAAACAGCCAATTAAAGCACACAAAGGGGGTCACGTTAAAAGGCTCTCCGGCTCAGATTGTGTCCACTGACCTCAGGTGGATTACTGTGGAGTCCATATGTGACAGATAAGCAAGCTGGCTCGCTGCACCGTTGAGCTAATGAAAAATGGGCTTGGCACAGGCGCACAGGCTCCTGACGCCCACGCTGTCTGCGCTCTTAAATAAATGTCATAATATAAAAACACAAAAGACACACATAATCAATGCAGTCAGGAGTCTGGGGGATGGGGGGAGGAGTTGGATCGTGTTTTGCAATGATTAAGCTGCAGAATTTAATACATGTTCACAGGTGAGGGGGGAGGAAAGAATGCATGGGAAACCATTCGGGCCCTGAGGTGCAAGAAAGACGCGAAAGATCCAGAATAGCGGGCAGCAAGGAAAGCAACATGAACGGCTTCACTGGCCAAATTTCAAACTAACGCGCTGAGCTCAAAGCAGGCAACGGAGACAGACAAAAGAACTGCGCACAGACACCAACCTGGAGTAAATATCACCCGACAAACATGACATCATTGTCCTCCTCAGACCTCGCAATAACAAGATTAGAAATATTCCGGCGGATTAGCGCCGTTAGAGCGTTCAAGGACAGGGGGGAACCTGCGCCGAGAAGGATGGTGGAGACATTTTTCTATGTGATCCCTGCGGGGGGATTGAGGCGAAAACACGCGAAATGCCGCGGCTATTGGAGAGGCGCCTGGGGCCGGAGCGATGATGGCTGCAACAAACACGTTTCTGCCTTTATTGTGGGGAGAGGGATCGATGAGGAGGATGGAGACGGCGCGTGGTGCACAAAAATAAAAACAACAGTAAACGTGTGCGCCAAAAGGAAGGAAGATAGAGAAAAAACAAGCGGCTGCAAGGGGGAGATGCCGCCGACGGACGACGCAGGAAAACGCGTTTTTCAGTCCTGAGCGGGATGTTTATGGCCGTAGAAACGCATGGAGGCCGAACCTCTCCCACCTCACACGAATATATGAAGGGACGAGACAAGGAATACCGATGGAGAAAAGACGACGCCGCGTCCCGCCCGCGCCTGAGCCTCCGTCTTCGAGCACCAAGTATTAATTCGGTGAAATGAAGGAAATGTGTCGGCGGTTTTCTTACCTGACGGCAGACAGCGGTGTCGTCTCTTCAGCGGCAGTCGCTCACCGGGCGCGCGCACACACAGACACACACACACGCACGCTCGCGCAGCTTCTCCGCGCAGTGCAGCGGTAGGCCGGACGGGGGCGCTGCGGAGCGGAGCCCAGTCCTGAAATGCAACCTGTCTGCTGACAGCAGCCATCTGCTGTCATGTAAATAAACACTAGCAAAGACATGACCTGTTTTGTGGACAAAAATTAACTGCAGAACGCAAGGAAAAAATTTGTTAACAGAATATCTTATTTTATTATAGGGATGACTCTTACATGCAAACTAATAGACAATAAAAATTTAAAAAATAGAATAGAGCATCACAAAATAACCACATTGCCTTATTGCTTTCAGTTTTATGTGAATACAAACATGAGGAGATTGGAAAAATGTCAACAGATGGTGGTTCTCCAAAATATGAACGCATCACAGGCCTCAGACTTTCATTTTGAAAGGGTGTCAGTTTTCCGACTGAATATTCCAGGCGTAAGACGTCATAAAATTCAACAACTTGAAACAGGAAGGTAGAAAGAAAGTTCATGTTTCCAAAGGAACAAAGGTGAATATGTTGAACATTAACAGTACATTGAAGCTGTAATTACAGACGCTCCCGCGTACAAAGGTCATGGCACATAAAACAATGCCTCCCTGTGTCAGCCTTCTTTTACTGCCCTCTCACAGCCTCACACAACTTTTACCACCAAGGAGAGAAAGCATCCATCTCCAGGGGAAACAGTATTGGAATCACTGACAGTCACATCTTTGACTCGTTGGCAGGATGCAACTCTTTGTGCCATCCTTCTCCCCCTCTTTTGGACATGTGCCCAGGCAACAGCTGCCACTGGCAGTGGGGCTGCAGATTATTTGGTTTTATCCCGTGGTGGGAGTTCACTGTGAGCCTGGTGCTGCTGTGAAATCATTGGCCTGACTTTAAAATCCCTAAGTGGTCAGAAGCTGCACAGAGGAGCTGATTCAATTTCACTGGCTTCACAGCGATTTGACTGAAGCTAAGATGGAAATGTGGTTCTGCATGACATGGTGGTCTGGTTTTTTTTTTAAGGTTGGATGCATGTTTTGACCTTGTTGACATCAAGGTCTGATTCTATCATGCAGCTGAGATAAAGATGAATTGGATCAGGCAATTTTTTCTCAGTCTGTTTCTGTCCAATGTTGGTGAGTCTTTGTGAATTATGATCCCAGTTGTCTGCAGCTGTAGTTCTTCTGCTTCAAAGTTCAAAATGTTGTAAACGCAGAGATTATATTTTGCATCCCTTGATTTTACTGAGAGGTTTAATTAAGTTACCGCCACCTTTCTATCACCTCGATACACTCCTCTAACAAACAAGGGGTTTTTGAATTACACATATAAAAATTGTCAACAAAGCCAAAATGTCATTCCATTAGGAGTTTTTGATATCTCCTCTCAACAAAAGGACTCTCTTTAGGCAACAGCAGAACATTTCTGCCTCCAACGTTGGAGGATTTTATCTTGCACCATGCTCATCACATTTGAAGCTTACAGAGTTTTTTCTTTAAAGCCTCTGTGGAAGACTTATGAATGGATACTGTGTTCTTTGCCATGTAAGAGACTCAGACATGTCTCCAGGCATGTAAACTGACTGTCCATCTGGCCCCGTCAGTCTGAAGGAAGATGTTGTGTAACATCATTTATCTGGCTTAGACAGATGAGAAGTTGTGGTAAATCCTTTGGATTACTTTGAAGTAGCCACCTCTTTTTTGAGGAAGCCAAAAACTTTTATCATTTATAGATTGGATCCCTTGATTATTCTGGATATTCTCTAAAAGAGACAATCCTAAAGCAAGAAACCCTGATCTGACAATTAGATTAATCATTTTCCGGCTTCTGGGTTAATTTGCAGCTTCTCCCATTATTACGACAGTTAAAGTTATGTAAAAAATATCTTGACGAAGAGGATGACACTATTATTACAAGTATAGCTAAAATTTTCCAAGTTGTTGTAAACATGCCTTTTAAATGCATCAAAGTATACATTTGTTTGATATATTTTTGTGTTATTTTACAAAAAAGAATGATACAATCACTTTCTACAAAAGGTAGCCAGATTTTTGTTTTTATATGGAAAATAAATCCATATGGAAATTATTAGATACTCTAAATGGTCAGGTAAGCCAGCTCCCTACTTTATCATTAAAATTATTATTTTTTAGGTGTATAACTAACCATGCTTTAAAGACAGTCTCCCTTTAAATTATGCAGACATTATTAATGGCGCTCATTTTTAAATGCATATGCTTGTTGTACATTATTTGCTTAGAGGAAAAACTAAAGAAAAGCCACTACATTAGACCTTTTTATACAGCCATTGACTTAATCTCTCCACAATATACATAACCACATAATCTCATAATTTCATTATTATGTGATCATTATAATAATAATATTATTACAGCAACAGTTATATTTTACTGAAATTATCTTACATGGAAAATATATACAATGTATACTATCTTGATTAGACGTTTACCTGCGGGTGGATGTGCCGTGTAGTCATGGTCAGCAGTAGCATCTTCAGCCTGGCTAGCTTTCTGAGAGAGTACAAACTGCCGCTTCTTAGCCCTCTCGAAAGCAGACTCTCTCATTGCCGGTGCAGTGAAGTTATTCCAGGACAAAATCCGCTAACAAATCCGCCAACAAAACCCTCCGGTGTGAAGTGGCGGCTCCATACGAAAGTGCTCCCCGTCTTTATGCAAAAGTCCGGACCTTCATCTCTTCGGATCGCCTGGATCCACTGCCTCCGTTGGTCCGGGTCCGTAGGGAACGCATGATATGTCAGATAAGGCTGTTTTCTTGCCCCACATGAACAACCAGATCAAACAAAAACAACTGCTCCGAGACTGAGCCATTTTCTTAGCCTTTCAATGCTAACGCTATAGCCACCGGAAATTGTCCACCCCCACATCCGCTTTATAAAACCCGCGCATGCGCACAACCGACCCGGCCCCGCGCATGCGCACAACCGACCCGGCCCCGCGCATGCGCACAACCGGCCCGGCCCCGCGCATGCGCACAACCGACCCGGCCCCGCGCATGCGCACAACCGGCCCGGCCCCGCGCATGCGCACAACCGACCCGGCCCCGCGCATGCGCACAACCGACCCGGCCCCGCGCATGCGCACAACCGACCCGGCCCCGCGCATGCGCACAACCGGAACCTGTAACTGAAAGGGCTGCGGCACTTCCTGTTTTGGTGACTGTAATTCAAGTACTCTGAAAATGGCTCTCCTCCTCCGGTCCTTTTCATAGTCCTTACTTAATTTGCCAGCTCTTTCTTTCGCTGATGCGGCGGAACTCGCAGCGGCTAATTCATCCACCAACAAACGTATGAAAGGATACAAGTTCTTCCACGAAAAATATATCCACCGCTATCAAGGTAAGAAAAGACGTAGCTTAGCGAGCTAACCGCTAGCTACAATATATGAACTACACAAACATCGTAATGAAGCTTAACTTAGTTTGCTAAATTACGTACATAATTTAAACTTCTAAATTATATTCAGATTACATTCTGAAATGTATTTGCCAGTACAGTTTGTGAAAAACAGCATGCTAGGACTTAGTTATGAGATACTAGATGACGCTTGATGTTGAAACTCCTGCATGCCTGCAGTGTCCAATATTGTCGAGGGACAGGTAGTTGTCAGAGCTAGATGCTTCAGATCCATGAACAAAAATGAGAAACCGCATAAGCTGCAGGTTTGAAACAGTCAGAAAGCCGGTTGGCTCTTGTTCTGTAGTTCGAGTTCCTGATCATATTTGACAGATGAAGAACTTCCACGTACGACTTCTGGACAACTCAGAGCTTTTTTCTTCCTGTTCAGAAGGGACTATTTGTTTTCTGTTTTTGTTGCGGTTGCAACATAGTCTGTGTTTTTTCTGCTGTTGTTGAAGCTTACCTTCAAACTAGAATCTATTGTTTAAAGCTAAACATGCTATATGTATTGATGTATATATGTGTTACTAAAACAGTTGTCTATTTTAGATATCACTGGGTGTTGGAAAAGAAAAGGCTGAATTACTGGATCATTCCTGTAGCTGTGCAGCTGGTAAAGGTTTTAGCAATCATGTAGTTGCACTTCTTTACCAGACTGCACACTACTCCCAACTCCAGCTGCCAACTGTTCCTCCTGCACTGGCCTGCACAAGTGATTTACAAAGATGGCACAGACCAAGAACACAGGTAAGAAAAAAAGAGTGGAACACATTGTCCTCTGGGATGTGATATATAAATATACTAGATATACTAAATTATATACATTGCATATACTGTCATAAACATATGATCTTAAAATAACAGTACTATAGTTATGTACACAATTTATTCCTCCTTTGATTATGTTACACTGCCATTTACGTTTCTTTCCCACCTCTATTTTATAATCGCCATATAAAATTTGTTGTAATCTCAATATTGTGTCAAATATAGTTTGTTTGGAATATTTCTTTTTTGTAGGCAATGAAAAAAATACATGCTCAACTGCTATCAATTAATTTATTTGCGAGTTGAGTAAAAATCTAAACTGTGCCAAATCAGTCCAATTATGTCCTAACAAATTGCTCACTCATCCATTTATTTGTTCTTTAGTTTGACATCTTTCTGTGTATTTCTTGTAAGGGGAAACATCCTGAACCTGCCAGCAACATGGTGGTGTAGAAGCCCAAAACTATGGGGAAAAGATATCTGCACTCCACACTTTACAGAGCTTACACAGGTATAACGTTTGGTTTGTTTTTACATGTATGTTTCCTTTGTCAAAATTTAATATGATTATGTCACTGATGTTTGTAGGACCACTTCCAGAACCCGACATTCTGGCATCAGGAGAAAATCTACGCCAGCTGGAGTCCAAACCACTTATCGCTCTTGTCCTAGATGGTCTTTCACATTTGGTGCTGGTTCCATCCAAATTTGGGCCTGTGCCACAGGGCTCACCAATGTCTTATCAGTGCCCACCTGAAAAGTCCTCTGGTAGCATCATTCTGCACCACATGACTCCAGACTTCCCTTCTCTTCCTTTGATGCTGCATGGTCTTCCAAATATGTGCTTTGTGCCCACACTTGGTCAACTTATGCATCTTCATTCTCTGCAAGTGTCACTGGAAATGTCTTATGAAATAGAAGCCAGAACAAGACAGCAACCCAACATCTGCTTTAAAAAAAGGTCTATTTGTGCCACTACATCGTTATCTGCTGTGTCCTCCTCTACGGTAGAGGGCGCTGTCTCGTTAGCGTCGCCACGTTGCTCAACCAATGACGTGGATTTTCATTGAGAGGCAGTCAGAGCTCGAAATACGTAACTCTAACAGAGATTATTCTTCGTTTGGTTCATATTTACACCCCGAAACGCTCGATTTCTGTCTCTTTCTTGCCATTATTGGACCTAGTTCTGCTCCGGCTGTTGCCCCAGGCGAACAGTGACGTAAAACGTCTAGATTTACCGTGTTTCCTGTTGTCTGCTGATCAGGAGTGTGTGCAGTAAAGCAGCTATACTCGGTTCTGAATCTGGTGAGCTCTGGTGCTGTTTTCCCCCTCCAGACTGCAGGATGAGTAAACCCAGAGTTTTAAACCTGAAGGATAAAATCAGCGGGAACGAGGCGGACCTGAGCCTGAGCAACCTCAGTGAAGTGCCAGTCAGAGAGCTCGTAAGTCTCCCAGCAGCTTTTATTTCCTCGTGTATCTCCGAATCAAACCTCAGTTCGTGCATCCACACACTTAAATCCAGCACTCGCTTCCTGTCCGATCATCTGACTTATTTTGTGCATTCTTCATAACCAAATGATCAATCGGTGCAACACGCGTCCATCATCAGTCATCACATTATAACCACCTTCATAATACTGTGGGAAGGTTGTTCCCTCAGCATCAGAATGCTGGTCTCCAAGACTTTGTCAGGACCCCTTTAAATATCTTCAGAAATGTTCTAGTTTTTTACATGGTCACGCTTAACGTCACGCGAACAATATATCTCCACTGACCTCTGCAGGCCATCAGCATCCCAGAAGAGCTGCAGTTTAGCAGATTGCTTCACACACAAAGCAGACTGACCTGCTTTTATTTCAATTTTTAGTCATGGCATTAGCCAGTAGGTATTGTCCATTTTTATTATAAATGATATAAAATCCAAGCAATCATTAATGGTCACTTTGAAGGTCATAATCCTGAATTTTCATTATTATTATTTTTTTTTTTTTATCAAGACCTTAATAAATGCCAAATCAAATATCACATATCACAAGATCGTCAATCTTCATCTTGTGAAATTATAAACTGAAGAAGTCACACTGTGAAATCCGTTGGTATTAAGATATTTATGCAGTTTGATAAGTTAAACTGATTAGGAATATAATGGTTATTAATCTAAATATTGCTTTGTTTTCTCCTACAGTCTTTATATCCTAAAGCCACCGTCGTGGACCTTTCTTGCAACAACATCATCTCCCTTCCTGTGAGTATCAAACACACACGTTGCTGAATTTTTGACCTAAATGATTAATCGCTTGAAAGGGCAGGGAGATGTTTGCATAGCCACCTGCTGCTTCCAGATCGCACCGCTAAGAATAAAACCATTGAAAGAAATCCATAGGTGCTCTGAAGTAGATGCTTTGGTCAGACGAGACATAAACTGATCTTTAAGTCCTCCATGAAAAACACTGTGCATGGAGGAAACCTTACGCTACGGCCTGACCGAACCATCTTCTTGGTGAAATGTGGTGGTGACGGCATCATGCTGTGGGGAATACTTTTCTGGTCAGAGCTGATGGGAAGATGTGTGTATGTTCATCTCCTGGCAGGAGGAGAAAGACCCTAAATATACAGCAAGAGCCACAGTTAAATTATTAGCTTAGATTTAGTCACATTAAGATTTTTTTTAGCTAGAATTGTCTAGTCAAAACCTCGACTTAAGCTCAGTTGTAGCAGAACTTGGAAATGTATATTTGCAGCTGCTTGCCATCTAATATAGTTTTTTTCTTCTCCTAACACAGTTATGTTCAAATACATGATTGTCTGTTTTACCCCACTTCTCTTACGCAGCCAGAGTTTTGCAGCCTCATCCATTTAGTGAAGCTTGACCTGAGTAAAAACCAGCTTACCTGTTTGCCAGATGACCTGGGGAACCTGGTGAACCTGCAACACCTGGACCTTTACAACAACAAGCTGATGGTCCTGCCTGTCAGCTTCTCTCAGCTGAGGGTGGGTAGGATGATATTTTATTTGTAGGGTTGTGCCAAAAAGCCTTAAATACTGCTAATATGTGCAATGTTAGCAGTATTGTTGACTTACTGTTTTTTTTCCCCCCTTTTTGTTATAGAGTCTGAAGTGGCTCGATCTGAAGGATAATCCTCTGGAGCCCGGTTTGGCCAAAGCGGCAGGAGACTGTCTGGATGAGAAGCAGTGCAAACAGTGTGCCTCTAAGGTGGCTGCAACACATTCAGCAGCTTTACACACAAGAACTAAATGATTCCATAAAGATTTCTTCTTTTCCCTATGTTATCAATGTCATCAGAAAACATTAATAGATCGAGATTTAATTTCACTGGAATTCCAGTTCCAGTCAACGAGAGCAAATTGCCCAGAAAACAAAGCAGCCACAAACCATTACACCACTACAAACATGTTTGAATGCAGACATAATGACACACGCCTGATATGAAATTCGATGTTTCTCTCATCAGTCCTTATGTGATATTTTCCCTGATGTTTTGGAAAACTTTAAGATGTTTCTTTTGGAAAATATGATGCTGGTCTTTGTGGAATATTTTTTTTTCTTTGACCTTAACTGAGGCCAGCTCAAAAATAAAAACTTGAATGTTGGTGTGTTTCAGGTCCTCCAGCACATGAGAGCCATTCAGGAAGAGTATGATCGTGCACGAGAGAAACGCCTGTTGAAAGAAAAAGGTAAATAATTGAATGTTTTCCCCCTAGAGGAAAGATTTTATTCTTGGAGCTATTTTGAAACCCATAAAGCACATATGACAGTTCTTGCGTCAAGAAAAATGGCTTTAATCAAATTTTTTTCTTGCAACATATCCACCAATTATTAGTTTGTGGATCTCTCTCTATTTTCTTTCATCTCTATGGTTTGTCCTATTTAAAGTCTGAATCCATAAAACAGACCAATTTGCTTTATTTGCGTTTTCAAAATGGATCGAAATGTCTCAGAAGCCTGCTTATCTGCGCAGCAGTGTCGATAAATCAGGAACAGGGGGATGACCTTGTGTCGTTTTTGCACTTAAGAGCTGGAGAGGAAGAAGGAAGCGAAGCAGAAAGAGCGGGAGGCCAGAGAAAGGGAAGCTCGCAAACGGGAGAAAGCGGAGGAGAAGGAGAGGAGGAGGAAGGAGTACAACGCTCAGATGGCGGCTCTGGCTGTGCGGGAGCAACAGAAGAAGAAGGGCGAGGAGAAGAAGAAAAAGAACGGGCAAGCAGCAAGTGGGGCTAAAAAGTTTTTTATTCTGATTGTTGGGTCTTTCCAAAATCTGAGGTTTCGGAAGCTGAAGAAACTTCAACACCACTTTTCTTGTCTTCACAGATAAAAAGGTCGATGTGAAGCCAGCAGCTAAATCACAGCGTTCTCTCATCGGCTGGATTTTTAAGCTCCTCCTCCTGCTGATGCTGGGGGTAGCCGGAGTTGCTGCCGCATGTCGGCTGACCGACCTGCAGAGGGAAGAGGTCTGCGTGCCGATCAACGCGGCAGTGGACGACTGTTTATCCTGGGCCAAAGTGCAGGAGGGCGTGGCCAGACAACTGCTACGCAATCTGTCTTCTGCTGCTAAGGACCTTCTGGAGTCCACACAAACATCGAAGAACTAAACCCTGCCATCAGAGATGAGAGCTGCAGGCTTTTCCTGGTGTCCCCGGGATGTTTTTTTTAACATGTAGAAACCATCGCTCCTGTTTGCGATGCCGGGATGTGGAAGGCCTGCACAGAGACTTATTCCTATGGAATTACTGTCAAAATCTTACTATGGCCTGTTTTCTTCTTGCATCAGCTAAATATCTCCCTGCGGACGGCGTTTTGCACTTTACATTAATTGAAGCGCGGGCTGCCCTTGAGCTGTTCAGCTAAATGTGAAGCGGACGGGTCGGTGCTGCTCGGGAGTGTCGTCAGAGGTGTGCGCGTGCCAAAGCTTGTCGCTGTCGGCGCATGTGCAGTGCCTTCTCCATCTAGGTCGCTGTTTACCTCGCAGGTAAACGCTGTAAATGCTTGCAGCTGGTCATCCGAGTCACTTTTGCTACATGACAAATAAAAAAACAGGCACATTTTTGCCAAAGACGCAAGAAAGTGAGTGTTCATGTTATTTCTGAGGAGCAAACTGCTGTTTTCACTAGAGCTTAAAGATTACCTGTCCTAATTTAACATGGAGTCATATTGAAAATGTAACAGTTAAAACATTTCAGACAGATTAAAAGCTAAAGACTTTCAGTTTTAAGATGTTTCTGCAGCCAATACATTTGTCTGTGTAAAAATTTGTATTTACGTCACAATTTCAGATCTGAATGAGAGAACATATTTTTTTATTGATTTGGGAGGGACAGTGCATATTAGCAATTCTCAAACGCCACAATTAGCAAACGATCTATTTTTATTCTGTTGTCCCTGGACAATGAGTAATTTATGTTGCTAAAAATAAAATAAAAACTTTAATATTTGCATTATGCCAGTTTCTAAACTCTTCCAGCAAATTACTTACAAATACCCTTTAAAATTTCTCCAGATCTTCCTATGTACTTGGAAATTTGCATCAGGAAACAATCAATTGGCTGTATAAAGAATCCAATCTTCCCACATTTCTCTTTTTATAAACATCTGAAGAGTGCGGCATGTTCCTACACTCGGCCTCTTCAACTAATCGAATACAGCAAAAGATTACCTTCAGAAGTCACCTGTTTAGTACGTGGAGTGCACCTGTGAGCAATATCCCAGTAGGAATACTCATATGAGCATAAAGCTTACCGATGTGCACTGGTCAAAGTGGCAGCGTGTTGAGAGCATGGTTGCTTAAAAAGGCCGAGAAAAATACAAAATAAGTAGGAAGCATCCATCTATTTGACCTTTTGTTGAAAGCTTTATTCAGCAGGAGGTTTGCTTTCATCCTGGCAGTGGAACAGTGAACCTGCAGCGTTTCGTTGAGGTTGTCAGGGGAGCAATCTGGACCAAAACGAGAGCTCTCTTCCTCAAAGGGAGGGCGGTAAAGTCTCTGTGTTTCTGCTTCACAAATACTGGATGGAGCTCACAGTAGTTCACCTCCCTGCTGGACCAGTTCATGTCTGCTGCAGCATGTTTGCTTGTAGTCCCTTTCCTTCATGCAAGCCAGGTCTTCCTGCAGCTTGGTCCGAACGGAGTCGTCCACCATCAGCTCGAGGGTCACCTCTTTGAAGACGTTGCACACGGATACCTGCAGAGATGGCGGTTACCGTCTGAACTTCCTGCGCAGCAACCTGAAGTCTCCTCCTTACCTCCTGAAACTGCAGCTTGTTGAACATGGAGATGCTGACTTGGTTGTCCAGACCAATTTTTGCTTGAAACTTTTTGATTCCGAGTTTGCTGATTCCTGATGAAGAGCGCACAATTCCCACGTCAATGCAAATGCATTTATTTGAAAGGGATAATGTGACATTTCTGGACCATTTTGTTTTTATGACATTTTCACATTTTGAAAAGCAGGACATATTTCATTTAACTGTTGACGCTAATACCAATCGATAAACATTTTCCTTCATGTTCTGTTTGTCGGCTATGATTAGTGTCCTTAATGTGCCACCTAGAATGTTATATCCAACCAAACACTGCATTTATAGTCGTTTGCCTTTTGATACACTAAGGTACTCAAAATAAAAATGTTTAAAAAATGGCAGGTTTAGGTTATAACTTGACAAGCAGCAACAGCTTCTCACCGTAGCTCATCATCATGCGAGTCACTTCCTTCCCAATGCCTCTTCCTCTGTAACTGGGTTCTGTTCAGGGAGGGAGGAACAAAATAGTTCAACATTTTTAAAACTTTTTTTTTTTTAAATAAGGCTCTCAACCAAACAGCAGAATGTGCGTCACCTGCTATCATGACCTCCAGCTCTGCCAAGAATGGATCTGAGGGGTCGGTCAGGAAGATGTTGACGTCTCCCACCATGCACTGCTCCTCATCGACACCTGGGTCCACCCAGCGCTGCTTGTCCAAGATAATAAATGTGCATTCTGGAAAGTTGCAGCTTGAAACATTAAAAAAAACAAAAGCGAAAACATTTGTCACACGTTGACTGATTCATAGTTATGGTTTGGGTTTGTGGCACCGTACTGTCATTGTCTTCCCTCCAGCTCTTCTGCATGTCGTACTCCTGCTGCAGGCTCAGAGGCTCTGAGGCGGTCAGCTGCTGCAGCTCAGGAGATTTCATCCACTCATGATATCTGGGGATAACAAGAGGATGTACCAGCATTGATTATTGGTTTGAACTACATATGATTAATAACTATATATATATATATATATATATATATATATATATATATATATATATATATATATATATGTGTGTGTGTGTTACATTTATTACAGTTAAAATAAGTCATTACTGAAAAAAATTTGTAGAAGTCGATTTTGTAAAACAGGTAGGTTACTTTTAAAACGTATTTAAAATATGTAGTTTGATTTATTTTCAAAGGCAACTTAAGATAAGTTTGAAGTGCATTTTAAACACTCTTTGATTCATGCACATGGCTGTTTCATTTCGATTTGGAGTTCATCTTTGTCTCAAAGATCTCTAATATTGGAGCCAAATTAAATATATTTAGTTCCAAATAGAGACTCAAATCAGTTAAACGTATCGTTTCTACGGGGTCACCAAAGCAGTCCTGCACGGATCAAAAATAACCCGCACCGTAACGGCTGGTACTGACCTGGGGACATGCTCTTCATTATATGGAACCAGAAACACTGTGTGTCCCTCCAGTAACGTGTTTTCATTTATTTTCATGATGAATAGACGGCTACAAACAAACTCATAGCAGCTGAGGAGGGCTTCCGTAATCTCTCGCCACGGTTCCTCCTGCGACTGCGCACAGCGGACCAAGTAAGTGAGGCGCCGCCTGCTGGACAGCAGCAGTACGTTCATGTCTGAGTGCTCCCTTTTGATTCTGATTTTATGTTTCCTGTTTGCTCCTTGTTACACAGTTACATGTCAAGAAGACGCATAAATCTGCTAACATGCCAGCAACAGTTTGATTTTGAACTTTAATTGTAGTTCAATTCGCTTTATTTATTTACTGTCAAATAAAGACAAAAGGCTTATTGTGCTCGGTTAAAATTTATTAAGGGATTAGTGTGCAAGGCTATTCTAAGTGCTTTACAGAAAAATCAAGAATAAGAGTTTACAAACAGAGGCATAAATTAAACAAGATACAAAAAATGAAATAGAAATAATGGGAGTCACATTTGAAGAATACTTTATTTTAAAAAGGGAAATTAAATACATGAATGCAAGATGTATAAATACTTCTGCAATGCCTGAAGACAATCAATTAAGGTATTTCTTTTCATCTCCAACTCTAAAATTAATGTCAACTTTTGATGACATTATTGGTGTGTCTGGGACTGAAGGTCAAATAGAGGGACACACTAGAGCATATATATATATATATATATATATATATATATATATATATATATATATATATATATATATATATATATATATATATATATATATATAAATATTTTTTTTTTTTTCCAGCCCAGTTGTTGATCAGCTCCAAATAATAACTCGTTAACAAATTAAGCTCTTTAGTGACATCTGGTGGCGAAAAGTCTGAAGAGCAGCTTTAATTTACACCAAATCTCCAAACGAGATTTTACTTTCTTTAGACGTGTTGAATCAAGTGTCAGGCTACCAAGACCTTGATTCTTCCATGTGGACCTTGAAACCTCACTGAGTGGCCAACCAAATCAAGCTTTGACACAACACTTACAAAGCACTATGTTGCTTTTGGCGACACATGCTCCAGAGCTTCAGCTTTAAGCACGCCGTCACTAATAGTAGCTCCTTGAGACAGGACTTTTGCTTAAGATAAACAAATATTTGAAGTTTTTTTTTTCTTTTTTTTTCCTTTTTTCTCCCCTTTAGCCTCTGAATGCTATGTTGGGATTTATGTTGCCCGGCCCAGTCTGTGCCACATTCTGACCGGGTCTTGTGTCTTGTTGATCATGTCCATCCAATGTTGCAGCTGAAGACCCCTGGCGTACATGAAGGGGCCCAACACCAGCACTCCCAGCAGAACTGGAGGTTCTGAAAGCAACAGTCATATTGACAGTCATAAAAAATGTCTTTTTTTTTAACATGAACACAGATGATTTAAGAAGTTTTAATAGAGAGATGTGTGTTTTTTTTTTTTGACTCATTAAAAAGTTTTTTCACCTGAGCGGTTGTCGTTTGGATGCTGCAGCTCAAATCTTAAACAGGCGTCATCCAGGTGCTGCGGTCGGAGTTTAAAAGTCATCCTGTAGTTGAAGATGGGATCCTGTTCACCTTTCACCACACAGCTGCGCTTCGTCTTCACCATCTGAGTGTGTATCTGCAAGCTCACCTGGACACACACACCTGCAGGAACGCAGACGCATGCTGTGGCGCACTGAGCAGGTAAAAGCCTTGATTTCATAGATGAAATTCTTCAAACCTGCGTCTGTGAGCAGCTGAAGGCCTCGAGCTCCCAGAACCACCAACGAGAGCCGCTGCAGGGATGAACTGTAGCTGAGGGATATCTGCACATCACCCAGCTCTGAACACTGGCGAAGGTTAGAGGGCAGAACCGCTCTGAGCATGTCGATCACGTCTTTGTGGATGTGTGTGGACGTGTTGGTGTTTACCTGCGTCTCCTCTTCGGGATCAAGGTCTCTCCACAGAACTCTGCCGGCCTGACCAAGCTCCCCTTCCAGGGGAAACAACACTCTGCCCACGGCGTGCCGCTTACCATCTTTCTCCACACTCAGCACACACACACTCAGGGTGCTCCGCAACACACACACTGCTGATACCTGTAAAGCACATACATACACATACACACTTAGAAGACATGTCTTGTTAAACGATCAGTGTGTATTGCTGCGCTCACATAGATTTGTAACACATATATCAAGTGTTTATTTCTCCTACATTTGGTAGTTATGGGTTGCAGTTGATAGAATTCAACATTCAGTTTCACAGAAAGTTTGAATATTACTTCCTGGCCGATGGCAACTCCGACTTCAGACTCGATGAAACTCAGTGGACCAACACCAGCAGATTACTTGGCCTGACTGTGGAAACTTTCCACTAACTTGGAACTTGCTCAAGCCTCATAAGCCTGTTATCATCTATCCATTCCAGGAACTCAAGAAGCCTTTTAGATGAGAGCTGAAATCTCTTCAAGAAACAATAGATGTTCTGTTTCAGCACTTAAGATTGTAAATGTCCCGGATGACTAAGAATCTACACTCTTATGTTCGCCTGTGCATCGTAGACTCTTAAACCTTCATTCCTAAATTACATAAAAGAAATAACATTTTGTTAAAAGAAGATTTTGAAGTATTGAGCATCAGTTTAGTCTCTCTTATCCTCAGCCTCAGCTTGATATAAGATTTTTTTTTTCCATGTCTTAAATGTGGTTGTGTGTGGTGGCTTTTGAAGCAGCTTTAGTCCACACTTTGTATATCTCCCCCAAAAAACCTCCTCAGTTGGATTTGTTTTAGAATTGTTGTGTCGATGCAATTATCCATTTTTGTATTGCATTTTTTCCTTCCACTTAACTTTCCTTTAATATACCTGAATAAAGCTCTGTGTGAACAGCTGCGATGTTTGTTAATTACCCTCCTTATGAAGCAGTGTTTGCTGGACAGTTGTTAAGTCTTCACTATGATTGTGACCCTGAAGTTTGGAGCTTGTTTTAGCTTAGTCACTTCTCACTCAGACTTTAACGAGTTCAAAATGTATGTTTTAGCTTATAAACTCAATTACTAAGGAAAAGTAACTTTCAGTAATGCTCCTGGGAACTCAAAGTTGCAAATTCAACCACATGTCCTTGCCTGGAAAATCAAGCAGTCGTTAAACTCTGGGTCAGGCCCCGTCCCCCGGGCCTTAGCCTGCCGGGGCCTCCGGTCATCGGGAAGAAGCCGCAGCTCCACCAGCGTCGTGTTGCTGTGGAACCGGGGGAGGAGGTTGCTGAGGCGCAGCAGGGAGACCACGAGCTGCTCGCTGCTGTGACGATACTCTACAGAGAAGCAGAGGCGCGTGGCCATGCCAAGAGGAGGGGCCGCCACCTCGTTCAGAGGGGTCATAGAGTACAGACCTGTCAGCACCGACCCCACTGGGTACCAACCTAAAGAAAACCAGGGATGCAGAAAAATCAATCAGAATACAAACAGATTTCGGATACTGCCAACTCTTCGCTTGGCTGATCTACTGGAGAATCTCTGTTGTTCACTGTAAAGGCAAAAATACCAATCAATAAAATTCAGAAAGAAGAATTACCAATTAAATTTCTGGAAATGTAAAACCTAACATTAACATAAACACATTATACTTCACATCTTAATTATTCACTGCGCTGGGCTAAGTTGCGCCAGTATTAGTTTTCGGGAACATATTATAGTTATTGTACCAACCAGCAGGTTAATAATGAAGGTTTAATTTTTAAATGTAAGTTTTTTCCTTTAATTTGTTATGGTACCAGAGCCAGACCATAACATTTTGAAAGCCTAGATCGTAGATTTCAAATTAAAAGCATTTCTTTAGTGCAGTAACTGCAGCACTCATGACCTACTTCTCACTGACAGTGACCCACGGTGAGCCAGAATGTCTCGCTGAGCATCCGCCTTCATCGCTCCCTCCTGTTCTTTCCCCTGGCTCTCAACATCTCTCAGAACCTCAGTATTTTGTGGAATATAGTGAGGAGGTAAAGAGAACGGGATTTCATCATGTCTTACATAAACAACAACAAAAACAAAACAAAAAAAAAAGCATTTAGGTCCACTGGTTTGGCATTTTCCTGGGGTTAATCTCAATACATCCACTAATATTTGCTGCTGGTACTTGCCTGGCACAAAAGCCTTGAGACACAGAGATCACCGGAGCAGAGTGGGCCGGTACCGATGGCACCGTGCTGATCAGCTCCTGATACTGACCCTGCTTGTTCTTCTTCCTCCTCAGGCAGCACATTGTCAGAATCAGCAGCAGCAGCACGAGCAACAGCAGACCAACGGACAGACAAACAGGAAGCAGCAGCGCCTGGTCTGAACAATCAGACACCCAAACTTATTCTCACAGGATTCACTTCTGTCCCAAATGTGTCTTTAATGCGTCTTTATTCTCACCAGTCATAATAAAAGTTCTTCTCGTCAGCTTTAACTGAGACAGAATGGCCGTCCAAACATGAAGCAGCAGCTTAGTGTTCTGCCTGAACTGTAAGTGACGGTGAAGAGCAGTGAGACTTGGATGCAGCTGGCCGTTTCTCACCATATTACGCTGCTATCTAAAAGACTGGATTAGTAGAAATACACGTTGGGCATTTTGTTGACTTTGGAATTAAATGCTAACCGGTATTATGAACTAAATTTTTACTGCATCGTAATAGTATTATATTAGAATATAAATGGTTAAGTTCAAAATTTTCTCTCTGCATGATTAGAGTGATTAATTTAGTGAATATTTTTTATAATGCATTGACCCTACATAAATAAATACATTTTTAACTCAATTGTGTTATGAATATATAAATACTGTGGTGTGGAAAAGTTTTTACCCCTCCACAATTTTCTTTTTTTTTTTTTTTGCATGTTTCTCATGTTAGCCAATGTAAATATCAGTCACAGACAACACAAAATGCAGTGTTTAAATGAACGTGTTTAATATTACGATAAATAAGATTAGTAGATTTCTAAGGAAGCTCAGTCACTGACTCTTGCATTAGCTCCTGTTGAGAAAGCATATGGTGACAGAGGAAAGGAACAACTCCCTTGTAACAGCAAGAGGCCTCCAGCAAAACCAGAACCAGGTTCAGTAGAGGCAGCCATGTTTTGAAACAGGACAGCCTAATCCCTTTTAGAAACAAAGAAAACCTTCAATCTTTCACTCAACAAGTTCTGTTTGAGGTTACTTCAGACTGAGACAGTAAGTAAATGTTGTTGTATGCTAATTGCTACTAGCCAAATAGTTTTTGTTTGTGCTTATTGTCTAAATTTAGCATGATAACATACTAATTAACACTGTCACTTTTGTTATTTGACAAGAAACCAAATACAGTTTTAATGTACTGAGCAGTAAGCCTAGTTCAGACAGGGATGCCTTTAACACTCAATTATATTCATGCGTAATGACAGTCCTGACAGATGACCTTATCCTGAATTTGAATCAAAGTGCTTATCAGCCACCCGCTGTTCGCTTCCACACACAAAGACCGGATTGGACAGTAGCTAATAAGATGACTGGTAATCCTCAGGGCTAAAGGTATAGAGTAATGGCTCTTTCTTTGTCTCTCACACAAACACACACAGAGACAAATGCACCAAACAATGCACCTTTAAAAAGAAAAAAGAAAAAACAGTTGCGCCTTCGTCGACATCACATGAGGCCCAGCAGATGCAGAGGAAGAGGATCAGGCTTAAGGAGGGTCACAGCGGAGGAAACTCGGCCGTGAGGCTTTTTATGTGGTTGACATCGACAGAGGGAAGCCATTTAAGAAGGGCGTGAGGACATGAGGGGAGGAAGGAGAGGCCCCAATTAGAGCTGCCTGCACTGTGGCCGCGCACAGGGCAAAACAGGACACAACTTGTGAACTTTCAGGTAAGAGGTTCATTTTCATTGTCAAACACTATTCTGCAGTCGCATGTGTGTGAATATACTTTGATTTGATTATTTGTGTTTCCAATCTGTGCAGATCAGCTGCTGTTGAGAATTTCTATGATGTGAGTTAATTATTGTGCTTTTAAGGAAATGCTAGATTTTCTGATTTTTTTTTCCGCTCATGAATACAACAGTACTTCATTTTTTTTGCAAATAGAATCTGCTGACACCTATCTGTACTGCAAGGAGTGATCAAATAATAACCACATTGTACCAAAAGTTTCATGTTACAATATCTCACTTGACTTGATATCATTTCATGTTTTCAAGTGGCGAAATGCACATTTAAATTTGTCTTTTGAATCTTGATTTTGTCTTAATAATCGAATAATCTGGCGCTGCGTAATCCCATTTGGTTAATCTGGATTTTGTGTGTTTGTGTATGTGTGCTTGATTGCTCTCATTCAATTCCTTGAGAAATGTGTCATCCCAAAACTGTTTGGAAATCACGTCGAAGGAGCATCCATGCTCAAATTTTAGAGCAGTGTGCATGTGGGCGACATGAAACATGCTGCTTGTTGCAAGGGACCTGCAGAGAATTAAGATCTGATCCTGCAGCTTCTGCTGGCTTTACGGGGCTTTGAACTGTGTGACAAAGAGAGTTAGCACCAAGCTAACTAAGAGGTTTGCAGTTGAGGAGATAGCCAAGATGGCTAAGAAGAAAACGGTATTAAAACAACCGGAGTTACAAATCCGGTCACAAACCAAAAGTTGATCAAAGTTTCATCAACTTTTTATCTCCAAATTGATAAAACAATTTTGGTTTTAAAGATAGATCTTGAGTAAAAGTTTACAGAAATTCCCACAGAAGTTCATAACGGTGCTTCTGAATATTTTTAGAATATTTTTACACCCAATATTTTGATCTGGTGTAAAACTAACACATCAAGGACATCATGGCAGTCAAACAAGGAGATGGTAGAGTGATGATCTGGTTCTATTTCGTTGCTTCAGCACCTGAACATTTTTCTGCAGTGGATAAAACAAATAAAAATCCAAAAGAAAAATGTCTGCCTACTACTGCACTGATGAAATCACACCAGCAAAATTTTCCTCTGAAACAGTAAATGAGACAGAATAATCATTTCAGAGTGGCATGGTCAACGTTTGGATTTTTACTCCTATTGATTCTAATTTGTTTGAGGATTGGAAAGACTTAACTGTGTCAAAATAGCAAGAGGAATTTCTTCGTTTCATACTTTGGAGAGTTAATTATTTAAATATTATGTTTGTCCTTACAGGTGTGGGCCGCTGCCATGGCGAGGTCTGGTCGCCCTGCCTCTGAGAGCTACCAGTCCACCTGCTGTTCGGTTGGACAGTCACTGTCCTCGTCCAGTGAAGTTGGCGTTTTGGAGGACGAAGACGACCGGACTCCTATTTTCTCCCTTTCTAAAAGCTCAGTAGATGTCGTCACAGCAACAGGCCCTCCTCACAAGCGAGACCTGGCCTGGATGCGACTGGACCTGAAGCGCAGCTCCAGCACCAACACGCACTCTGACCAGAATCAAGTGACGCTGCAGCAGCTGCACCTTCACAAGTGGCACCACAACAGCCACCAGTTTTCAGTCACAACTCAGAACGAGGACTTGCACAGCCCTCCACCTCTCAGTGAGCGCTGGATTTCCAACATGCATCGCTGGAGTGGCTGCAGCAGCAGCACGCACAGCCGCAGCAGCACTCCGGACACGGTCGTAGGGAAGGAAGGGTCCTCGCGCTCCTGTTTTCTCAGCCAGGAAGCAACCGGCTGCTTCACCCCAGATTCTCCAATGTCCAGAGTTACCTCTCCTCCAGCCACACCCTCACCATTGATTTCCCCCTTCCATACTCCTACTTTACCACCTCAAGATCATTTAGCTTCTTCACCACTACCACCAAGCACACACGGGGAGTGTGAGGACTCACCTCGCCCTCGGATAACTTTTAGAGACGACAGCAACTCCCCCGATAAACTTTTATTTCAGTTTCCTTCCCCAGTCCAATCGCATGCAAGCTTAACAGATGAAGGACAGTGTGCAAATCCTGCATGCCTCGTTAACGATGAGAGTAAAGAGTCACCAAGCCCCACAAATACCCAAGTAATGGAAGATAAAGGAGAGGAAAGTCCACCGCCAGCTGGTTGCAAGCTGGAGCCAAGTCCTTCTGCAGAAAAGACTGATTTCAAAGCCAAACTCTCAGGTTGCCATTATCTTCTGTCATTGGAGCAAAGTTGCCAGATGGGCAAAAGTTGGAGAACACCACTTGTTTCTTCCTTGAGTGACTCACGGTTGGGGGACCTCATGATGCACTTAGAGGCTACCGCCAATAATTTAAAGGCAGAGCAGCTTCGGGAGGAAGGAACGATGACCTCCCAGCTGGAAGTGAGGGATGCTGCGGTGCAAACAGGCTCCCCTTTGGGCTCCTGCTGCGACTTTCAGAAGAACATGTCCGACTCCAACAGTGGCTCGCACTCGCTCTTGGGCTCTCCACCTGGATCCAGGCTAAACTTGAAGGCGTCTGTGGGATCCCACTCCAACCTGGTTTCGGCATCTTCAAGCATGTTCCCAGTGAGCAGCGGTGGGGAGGAGGAGGAAAAGCAACAAAACACCCCAGAATGGGACGCTACCGCCGCTTCTGCACGGTATCTGGAGAGAAAAAGATCATGTCTGAAGGCCCAGTCTGAAGACTGCGATGAGCTTGGCAGAAGGGGCAGCATGAAGCAGGTGCTGTGGGATGAGGATGGACTGACGTGGGACATTCATGGAGCATCCTTGGACCCCGAGGAGCTCAGCACCGCCATACAGAAACATCTGGATCTCAAGAATAGCCCCCAACCACAGAGCCGCTCCTCGAAGAAGAAGAAAGCACCAATGCCTCCACTCATATCAAACATGGTGACAACAATGGCCCCTGACACAAGCCCACCAGCAATGAGCATTAAGTGCATGGTGGAGGGTGAGAGCCAGGAGACCCTGGAGACTGAAGCAGCGAGCGAGGTGCAGCCAGAAACAGGGGACAGAAAGCAGGAGAAGAAGGAGGCTAACTGTAGAAGAAGCAGAGAAGAGCAAGGCAAAATACAAGAAATAGAAGAGGAGGAAGGTGGAGAGAAGACAGCCGTTAGCATAAAGTCACCAACACAGGGGAGTGGACACAGCAAGAAAAAAATAGTGATCAGATCCCTGAAGAGGCCTGGATGGTGCGGAGGATCCAAAAAGACGGACGACTGAGACTCTGTGACTCTTGCAACAGCATTAAAACTGAGTTTTAAAGAGACACCCTCAATCAGGATGGGGGTCAAAGCCTTCCCACAGCAAACATTCATTTATTTCCCATAAATTTGGTTGGTAGTATCTACCACTGGAGTCAAGCTGTCCTGATTCATTATGTCGTCCCTAAATAAAGACTTTTCAGAATAGATGTTCACTGAGGTTTTATGCTTTTCCCTTTCAACAGTATAAGCACCTTTAGCTCAAGATAGCTGTGTACAACTGCATGTCTGGAACTGAAAATATGTGTAAAATCAAAAGTGTGACAAAAACATCAAGTGCTAACATGTTATAAACCTCA